CTGTGGGGATTGTCCACAGTATTGAGTATGTAAGTCGCTTTGGATAAAAGCGACTAACAAGTGACATGTAATGTAATAGAAGTGAGCACGTCAGAAAGTGCACTGGCTTTAAATTGATGGTATGGTCTTAATCATCTGCGGTGTGATGTGTGTGTGTTTTGCAGAGCACTTATGACCGCTGTCCTCTGGAGCTCGTGCGCTGCATCAAACACATCCTACACTCAGAGCAGAGGCTGGTTCAAGAAGCCACAAATGTAAGTGTTAAAGGGGAAGTGAATGTGTGTTGTCATTACAGAACTCCTGTAAACTCACGGTACCTTCCCCAAATTGTGGCTGGGTTAAGATTGACATCTGGGAAAGGATATCTATGAACAATAAATGACATGTAGTAGTAATAGAGTCATGATATTGGTAGAAGCAAACAAAAAACATCTGCACTTTTTAAATGTTGTGTGGATAGGCCAGCTCTGGGGGTGGGGGGCAGGCCATGGACAGCCTGTCGCAGCGCCATCAGCAGATCAACCAGTCCTTCGAGGAGCTGCGCCTGGCCACACAGGAGACGGAGAACGAGCTGAGGAAGCTGCAGCACAGCCAGGAGTACTTCATCATCCAGTACCAGGAGAACATGCGCATCCAGGGTGAGGCTGAGGGACACACACACACACAGACCTGTTAGGATCAAATATAACTATAACAACTATAACTATATGTTTTGGAATAAGTTCAATACAAAGTTATTTACGTTTCTTATTTACTATTGTCTTATTGGATTTTCCACATTGAAACACTTACAAGAAACAACAACACTAAACGTATATGACAACACTAAAATATATAATTAAATACAAAAGACATTGATTGATAAGACATAACTACATAGACATAATGGTTATGATAATAAAAACAAGAATAAATAAACATTAAAGTATTAGTTAAAAATAGTTCTAAATGTATAGAAACAAAAACATGTAAATACAATTAAGATGAAGATGACTTTTCCTCGCTGTTCAATGATTCATACCTTCTAATTGTTTCATACAATTTGCATAAAAGGCTCCCTGATATTAATAAAGGCCTCCCGAGATTCATTATTAACAAGCCTCAAAACGTACAATAACATATGATTTGAAGTCTCAAGGTAGGAGTACAACAAAGTCACAGACAAGTGTCAAAAGAACAACATGTCTCACACACACATACAGATCACAATAATGTGAAATACAACATCATCTTTTGTTAATTCATTCATTCATGGGAAGTTCCATTCCATATTTGAACACAGATTATCGAGAAAAGGTGTTCATCATGTTCAACATCACCAGCCCATTTGACTAATCTGTTAGTTGGAAAACGCACTACAGCCCGGTCCTGATTCACTTTCTTTCCCAGAAGTGAACAGTGTGTTGTTTGTAATGTTTCCTGCTACTCCTCCTGTTAGCCCAGCTGAGCAGCCTGTCCACGCTGCCTCCAGCTGAGCGCACCCAGAGAGAGACCGCCCTGCAGAGCAAGAGGACCACTGTGGAGACCTGGCTCACCAGAGAGGCCAGCACACTGCAGAAATACAGGCTTGTATGGAGACAACACTCACACACTACATTAACGCAGGCTAGCAAGGAAAGTTTCTCCTCCATTTATTCTTTTCGGTCTCATGATTATTCCAACAACTTTTTGAATCCAATATTTTACCCTGATGACTTATTAGGACATGATCAAATGTCCTTCTGCACATCATATTATCACATTGTAGTTTTGTGATCATAAATATGCTCATTCATCATGTTCAGAATCAGATATACTTAGAAATCAAGTTGATCTCTCTCTAGTGAAAAACAAATTGGTGCATGGGAAAATAATGTGTTATAGATGATATGTTTTCCAAGAGGACCTGAACAAGGAAAGATTTGAGCACTCGTGATTGAGCAGATATTGTTAGTTTGGGCTACATCAGGATAATTCATTTCAGCCCGCCTAAGAATACAAAAAAGCATATTAACCCAATCAGTAATAGCTTTTTCATCCTGGTTCTCTGTCATTCTCACCTTCTTGCAGGTATAGTCAAATTATTTCATAAATCAAATGACTATTTTTCATTTATGTAACTTACTTAATGGTATGTAAATTGGAAAGCCAGTTTCAAAATGGTGATAAAAGCAGGTCTAAGATCTGCTGCACTTTGTTTTATTAACAGATGGTGAGACATTAGGTTACCTCACAGTAGCTCTTTGGTGCATCACAGCAACACTACAGTAACTCAACGTCCCTGATGTTTGTAATGGCTTAGCAGCTCCAGTCAATTGTAATCGGATTGAGGCCTTTTTTTCTTGAAAAACTCTAATAATCAAAGAGGTTTAAAGGCTATGCCAACGTTGATATTTCTGAACACCACTGGTCTCTTAGATGAGCTGTTTATTTTTGGCAAACCATTCCTCACATACAGCCTTCCTCTTGCTGGATGAGCGCACCCATGGTATTTAACTAGTCTTGAACCTATATTCTATTTAAAAAAAAAACACTTTCATTTGTGCTTCATTACTTTCCAGACTTGTGCAACACGAGTTCCTCACAAGAGTGAACTGCAGTCGTAGGAAATATCCCCTTTTAACTCTAAATCATTTATAAACAGCGGAATAGTAAACGCATGGATTTTACAGCAATTAAGTTGCATAATCATGCTGTCCAAGATTCTGCTCATCTTCTTTCTCTGTGTGTTAACATGCTGAGTGTCCCATGTGTGCAGGACCTGTCCGAGCAGCACCAGAAGACGCTGGCCCTGCTGAGGAAGCAGCAGACCCTGATCCTGGATGAGGAGCTGATCCAGTGGAAGAGGAGGCAGCAGCTGTCCGGCAACGGGGGTCCTCATGAGGGGGGGCTGGACGTCCTCCAGTCCTGGTATCAACTATTCTTACTTGTATTTTATATTATAGAATGCAGAGTTTATTTTAATTTTTTTTCTTTCTGATGTAGAGGAGAATTTGAGTATTTCATTCAAGTTGTTGAGTTTGATACATTATAAATCTTATAAAGGCATACATCAGAATTCCTTTGTATTTGTCCCACAGCTAGGACATGTACATTGTTATAAGCAAATAGTACAGGGCAGATAAAGACAATCAGTGGCAGCCAGTAATACATATTAAAAAGTAAATATTGTAAGGTGTTATTTTACAACACTGTTGTTATAGTATTAAGTAGTGCGAAAAAGTAACAGACTTTAATAACAATTGTAAAATATTGCAGTTTTAAATGTACTTGCATAGAACAACCCAGCCTAATGTTCTCCGCTCCCCCTGTACTCTGCCCTCCCTCCCTCCCTCCCTCCCCTCCCCCTCCCCTCCCTCTGCCCCAGGTGTGAGAAGCTGGCTGACCTGATCTGGCAGAACCGGCAGCAGATCCGGCGCTGTGAACATCTCACCCAGCAGCTCCCCCTGCCGGGCCCCATGGAGGAGCTGCTGAGCAAACTCAACTCTGACATCACAGACATCATCTCCGCCCTGGTTACCAGGTGAGAACCAGCTTCACTTAACCTCAGTGAAAAACATTAAGGAATGATGTTAAGAAGAACTCGTTAATACTTAAGGACGGAGAGCTGCTGCTGTATGATTAGCAGTAGATGTTATTCATACTGTATGCGTCTGGTTTTTTTGGTACACTTATTGTGTTTACCCTCTCATACAAGATACACACAAGGTCAGTTATAACCAGTGTGTTCATGTCTGGCGATCACCTTTTATCAGAGACTCAGTCTGTTCTATATTCATACTGCTGCTTAGCCACACAATTACTGCATTTAGTTTCACTTTTGAATTCATTTGCTTTCTCTTTCTCTCTCATATTATATTTCCAAATTATTGTGCAAATAATGACAATTACAACATGCACCTATACACATATACATTTTGAAAATATCATTGTGTTTAAATACATTTTCAACAAAAGCAAAATTGACGTAGTTTTCTTTACAAGGACAACAATGTATTTTTTTTTATCATGAACAAACTAAAAACATAACTGTACCACACTTCCCATTTCTTATCCCCATAAAGTAACAAATAAGAAAAGTGACTTGCGAATGAATGATTACTTGCTGCAAGGAAGAGATGTCTCTTTCTCTCAAAACTTTCTCTCAAACTTTATCAATGACAAGATCACTGCCTTTGAATTCCTCTTCTGTGAGAAAATGTCAAGCAGCTGTTGTTGTCATCTCTTCTCTTCAGCACCTTCATCATAGAGAAGCAGCCCCCCCAAGTGTTAAAGACCCAGACCAAGTTTGCAGCCACAGTGCGCCTCCTGGTGGGGGGGAAGCTCAACGTCCACATGAACCCCCCTCAGGTCAAAGCAGTCATCGTCAGCGAGCAGCAGGCCAAAGCTCTGCTGAAGAATGAGAGCACACACAGGTGAGGGCCATAGGGCCATGATGATGAAGGTACCAGTAAAACACATGGATAATGTTGAGCTAAAAGGATTTGTTGCAGGTCTTTGGTTGGATATAAAAAACAAACATGAATGTAGTGGTGCTGTCATTTATTCTCTGTAGGCCGACCCAAACATTAGCAACGCAAGGGCTCCTTTCGACAAAAACATTAGGGTTTTTCCATTGGATTTAGAAATATTGCGGAAAATAAGATCTGTGGTAAACACACTTTTATGATACTTACACACTTTATTATTTATAACACTTTGTATATTGTTAAAGTGAAAAGGCAATCGGCAGAAGTAAAAGTCCAACGTGAGGATATAAACAACTACATAAAGGTCACATGGCTGCACATTACCACCGCTAATCTAAAGGTGGCTAATGTTCGTAGTGATAAAGTTTAGTAGACTCATTTAGTCACTTGGTACATAGAATCTTTGGACATTCACCAGTGGGGTAGAACAAAATGTGATCCTCTCTTCAGCTTGTGTTAACCATATTTGAAGCATCTAGCCAATAACAGGTTCAAAAAACAGTTGACTTTGGGACGAGGGAACCAGAACTGGTACACTGCCAACTCATTTCGGTGCTGTTGGACTCATTCCTGCACCACTCCTTAGGCAGCCACAAAATATATGTACTAAGTTGACATCGCCTTTTGTTGAAGGTTTTTCCTGCTACAGATGAGCTTTGTTCAATCCTTTCTAACAGCTTTATTTGCCTTGGCAGTGAAAGCAGTGGAGAAATCCTCAACAACAACTGTGTGATGGAGTATCACCAGGCCACCGGCACCCTCAGTGCACACTTCAGAAATATGGTATGCTCTGCTGGCTAAGTGTATGAATGACCTGACCACCAATATAACATTTTGTATTTATGTAATTGTTGAAATTGCATGCAACAATACCTTCATATATTTTGGTTTGTAATCCCATTGCGATTTCGATTGATTATGCTGCCTTTTTGACAACGACCTAAAAAACTATTTCAGATTTGAAAACTTCAGAAAATAGAATTATATTGCTGACATGTCAGGGTATATTTGCAAGACAAATACTAGCTGTTCAAAAACTGGCCTGATGCACAGTTCCTCGCCAGAGAATGGAGATGCAGCTGCTTAGAGTGCACTATATGGGCTGTGTTTGTTGTTATGAAGGTGTATGTGTGTAATCTCCTCTCTTGTCTTGGTACAGTCCCTGAAGAGGATCAAGCGTTCAGACCGCCGCGGTGCAGAGTCGGTGACGGAGGAGAAGTTCACGGTTCTGTTCGAATCGCAGTTCAGCGTCGGAGGCAACGAGCTGGTCTTCCATGTCAAAGTAATTGGATATTTGACCCTTTATTTACTTGTGAACAGCACTCGGTATCTTGCTATGTAATTAAATGATCTGCCTTCTTCACTGCCTCTGTCTATTTTAGACTATTCTCTAAGCCCTGTATTTAAAATGAAACATTTCACATTGATTAATAGTTATAGTAGGGATTCACCAATTGCACATGTCTAAGCCGATGCCAACACGTTTGTTTTTTCTCTTTATTTTCTTTGGTTGTTATTTATTCCCCTTTATTGCCAGTGAAACAAACATTTTTATATAGCACTACAGCCAACTCATTTCTGTCATAATATTATTAGCTGTCTTTTCTTTTAATGATAATACATATTTAATAGCATGATATTGCCTTTACTTCAATTGAATTATTAAATATCTAATACACAGAACAGGCTTTTAGTTCATATATATATATGTGTGTGTGTGTGTGTGTGTGTGTGTGTGTGTGTGTGTGTGTGTGTGTGTGTGTGTGTGTGTGTGTGTGTGTGTGTGTGTGTGTGTGTGTGTGTGTGTGTGTGTGTGTGTGTGTGTGTGTGTGTGTGTGTGTGTGTGTGTGTGTGTGTGTGTGTGTGTGTGTGTGTGTGTGTGTGTGTGTGTGTGTGTGTGTGTGTGTGTGTGTGTGTGTGTGTGTGTGTGTGTGTGTGTGTGTGTGTGTGTGTGTGTGTGTGTGTGTGTGTGTGTGTGTGTGTGTGTGTGTGTGTGTGTGTGTGTGTGTGTGTGTGTGTGTGTGTGTGTGTGTGTGTGTGTGTGTGTGTGTGTGTGTGTGTGTGTGTGTGTGTGTGTGTGTGTGTGTGTGTGTGTGTGTGTGTCTTGCAGACCTTATCACTGCCTGTGGTTGTGATTGTCCATGGGAGTCAGGACAACAACGCCACAGCCACCGTCCTGTGGGACAACGCCTTCGCTGAGCCGGTAAGTTAATGCTGTCTCATCAACTAATCAGAAGTTTTATTATATTTTTAACAGACCCAAACATACAGAGCAAACCTAACAATGAATGTATCTACATACTCGTCCTCTACCCTGATTGACCTCCATGTTTCCACCTCAGGGCAGGGTGCCGTTCATCGTGCCAGACAAGGTGATGTGGCCCCAGCTGTGTGAGGCCCTAGATATGAAGTACAAGGCAGAGATGCACAGTGGGCGGGGCCTGTCGGAAGATAACATGGTCTTCCTGGCGCAGAAAGCTTTTACAAGCAGCAGCAACAACCCTGAGGACTTCCGCAACGTGAGCATATCCTGGGCCCAGTTCAACAGGGTGAGCATCTTCCAGCGCATTTCTCCATGATCTACCTACTGATAGTCTGATACGGCAACCTGTGTATGTATTGATAACAACACGGTATATAAATAAAAAAGAAGCAGAAGCATCTGCTGGTGTTAAAATGACCAATGAATGCACACAACAAAAACCTGGTTTAGCCTTGTGTGCCTGTAAACGTACTGATGGTGTGTTTGTTTTGTTTAGGAGAGCTTACCCGGACGCAACTTCACCTTCTGGCAGTGGTTTGATGGAGTTGTGGAGCTCATGAAGAAACATCTCAAGCCTCACTGGAATGATGGGTAATGGCTCATTTTTTACAAGAGACGGTTTTATGTCGGTAGCTAAAAGAGCAACTTAAGATCAAAGTAAGTTGACAAAGTAGTACTGGAAAAACGTGTGAGGAGCAAAGACATTGTCATAGTACAGCTTCAGGATACTTCTGGTGGTCCTCCAAAAGAAAAGGCTGTTTTTATTTTTGAATGGCAGACTTTAAAGAGGCTTTTTAACTCCCCCCTAGCTTTAACCCTTTAATGCAGGGGTGGGGAACCTGCGGCCCCCGGGCCGTATACGGCCCGCGAGACAATTTGGTACGGCCCTCGAAGTAATTTATGTACACACGCAAAAAAGAAAAAAATTAAAGAAATCTAGACCGCAACAAAATTAAACAAGCGAGTGCCTGTTTTTCCTGGCCAAGGTCAGGGTCCTTGAATACAACACGAGCCTAACGTGTCATCACGTGGTATATGTCTCGTCTGACACAGAGCCCTAGAGAGATTATCTCTCTAGGGCTCTGGTCTGACAGGGGTTTAGAGCTGCCGGAGAGCAGAGCACCAGAACGCGGCTCCGGCACTTCCAAAAATGTCAGTACCCATAAGGAGCCGTACACATGCCACAGTTTTTGTATGGCTGTGTCTTTAGTTGACAGCCCAGTGGCGATCTGTTCATCTGTCATACTGATCATACAGTCAATAACTTTGTTGTTATTAGCATCTGGTTAGCTAGCTATGCTAACGAATATAAGAAGCTTTTTCTCCAACCAGTGAGGTAAAGGCACATCTTTATATGATCATTATAGTTATAAAAGAATAAGAGAATAAAGTAAACAGGTATAAAATACTATATGACAGTAAAAAAAAGTTGTTATTAATAATAGGGCTGTCAAGTTAACGCGTTAATAACGCGTTAACGCAAAAAAAAAATTAACGCCACTAATTATTTTAACGCGATTAACGCATGTGTATTTTTTTTTTCCTCGACTGCCCCGTAGTTTCAGAGCGCATCGAGTTTAAAATACCATCTACAAGCTGATGCTGACAGCCCCGCTCCTGCCGCCCGCTTGTGGCAGACCACACTTCCACGCTCACCGGCAGGCACCGACTGGCTATTGGGAGGACCGGGAGGGTGTGTGTGTGTGTGTGTGGCCCGAGCGAGCGAGAGAGAGACCTTACGTGCATTGTTGTTGTTAGCATCTGGTGCTAGCTAGCTGCGCTAACGGATATAAGGAGCTGTTTCAATGAAAACAGAGGAGCGACATTTCGCCACAACTGCGCCGAGCACTTGACTTCATGCAGGAAGCCAGACAGTGGGACATTGTACGAGAAGTCAGCACACTCAGCATGGATAGTGCGCAACATGATTGGAGCGTCCAGGCGTCCCGTTCGAGCATATGCCTTGAGTTGCACATAGCTCGAACGATCCAACACACACCTTGAGACACACACACACACACACACACACACACACACACACACACACACCATTTGTATTGTATTATTGAATGAGAGAGGTTCCAGGTTGAATTGAGGCGAATATTTATAATGTTCAGAGGTTGTTGTGTTTAATATTCATGAGGATATTTGACATTGTTCAAATGATAATAAACATTAGCATAAAGCATATTTGTCCACTCATATGTTGATAAGAGTATTAAAAACTTGAAAAATATTCCTCTAAGGTGCATTTAGAACAGATACAAAATGTGCGATTAATTTGCGATTAACTATTTTAATCAACTGACAGCCCTAATTAATAAACAAGAATACAGTTTGAAAGGGGAGTGATTTGTAAAATATCCATAAAGCAAAAATAAATCTGCTTACAGTTCTGTTTCATATGGGTGTTGAGAGATGTGTCCATAGATCTCCTAATTTTGCTCTCAAAGTGCACCAGATTGATGCTTTCAACTTCAACATTTAAAAAATAATCTTCCCGGGGGAGCATGCCCCCCGGACCCCCCTAGAGGAGGTTAGGTCCCCCCCCCCCCCACTTAAATCATGTCCATGGATAGGAAACTAAATACATTTGCACACATCTTGTGTCCATATCTTTCTGTTGTGGTGGTCATGCCATAACCGTGCACGTGCATGCATGCGCGAGTCATGGTAAGATATCTGGATTAAGAGGTTGCTTTTTCTTTGCACTGCATGAAAGAAAGGCCAAATGAATGTGCTGTGATTTTAGTATTTTGAAGCAGAGGTCAATAATTTGTACGGCCCTCGGAGGATGTTAGAAAAATTGAAATGGCCCTTGAGAGGAAAAAGGTTCCCCACCCCTGCTTTAATGATTGGTTAGGTTTTGGAGAACACATTTTGAGTCACTATATCTTATTTTCACACTATAGCTTAAAATATGTTAAAATTCAGTCAAACTAAATGAGCCATCTTGTTCTTGGTTTAGGTATTTTATGCTCAAAAGGTCCACTAGGTATCACTGTTTCTTTAAATAGTTCTTCTCTAAAAACATGCTCTATCTAACAGCGTGTTTGTCATTTTTATAGTTTGTAATTTTTTGTTTTAGCACTCAATTGCAACTATTTGCATCTAAAAGACAAGAACGCTCATTCATCGTTGTAGATATGATACATCTAATATTATTCCTTTATCTGTATTGTGAAAACAATTAATGAGTATGTTTTTTATTACCGTCTCAAAAGCATGCTCAACCAATCGGTTCAATTGTCATTTGGTTATTGCTAAGACAATTTTTGCAGTACCTCTTTAAATGATATAAAATAAAGCAATAGTTTGAACGATTCAAGTTGATGTTCCTCAGGTTAAAGAACAGCAATGGGTTTGCTTTGTTTTCTGAGTGTGTTTGTGTGTATATGTGTGTTTATAGTGCCATCCTGGGCTTTGTTAACAAGCAGCAGGCCCAGGACATGCTGCTGTCCAAACCCAACGGCACGTTCCTGCTGCGATTCAGCGACTCAGAGATTGGAGGCATCACCATCGCCTGGGTGGCTGAGAACCCCAACAAGCAAGGTACCAAACTGCACTGCTGTCATGCCTCTTACAATAAGTGTGAATCTCAATTAATCATTCATTATTACAACATTTAACTGAATGAAATGCATGCAAGATGAATTTTCCCCTCTCAGTAACATCTCTAATTCCACTTATTTTCATTTGTGCATTACATAGGTCGTGCATTACACTGGTCGTGCACCATAATCCCCGAAAATATATTATTTTAAATCTTTATGAATACAGTGAGTGAACTCCTGCTTTTATCGATCTTCGGCTAGGTGAGAGGCTGGTCTGGAATCTGTTGCCTTATACAACAAAGGACTTTTCCATCCGTTCCCTGGCGGACCGCATCAGTGACCTGAACCATCTTCTGTTCCTGTACCCGGACCGGCCCAAAGACGAGGTCTTCGCCAAGTATTACACCCCTCCCCTCTGTAAGTTCCAATATATTTTCTATTCACATCAACAGTGAAGTAAAGAACTCTTTATTTTTATATAACTCAGTTGTGAGGTGTAAGTGGATGGCATTATAAAGTTGAAATGACTAAACAATGTAAGGCAATATGTCTCTCTTGCAGCAAAAGCGGTGGATGGATACGTAAAACCACAGATCAAACAAGTTGTGCCAGAGTAAGTTGTGTTTTCTCTCTTTTGTTAAACTGCCTCTGCAAACACAAATCACTTCAAATGGACAAAAATGAATAAGAAGCAAGTTACTTAAAGGGGACCTATCATGCAAAATGCACTTTTGTACGTCTTTCATACATGAATATGTGTCCCCGGTGTGTTAGGGAACTCACCAAGTGTCAGAAAACACAACCCTCTCTCTTTTCCTCCATACCAAAATCTCAAAAAATGGGGCTGTAACGGATCTGATACAGACTGATCCAGATTTGAATTATTTTCTACGTCACAAAAGGGGTGCTCCGCTTAGTGGTCAATTCTCCACCTATCAGGGGAATGTGGGGTTGGGCCACCGCCGGCCATTGCCGCTCGAAAGCGCTGGAGATGCTGTAGTACATATGCCAGGCCTGTAAGTGGCGCTGTAGTCTGCCACCAAAGCACCGAAGAAGACTTCCTGCGCACTGTTGCCATGGTTGCCCTTCTGTTTATTCTCCGCTGTGGCTCTTTTTCTCCCTCCCCGAGGCAAGCGTGTGCTCCTGCTCCTGTAATTCAATGCAATCCCTCCCCGTCGAGGCAAGCACTGTAATTCTCTCCGGTAGTTCACCAGCAGATGGCAAACACCCACCTCTCGGCCTCTTCCAAGGGACGAGGGGACCGTGCGGCAGAATTTCAGTTAGATTTTTTTCCGCCGGTCAGGATGTCCATTAAAGTTAAATTCTTCCGGACAAAATTAGGAAAGTGCCGGTCAAAGGTCTTCTTTGTTATTCATTGAGCTTTAAAACAAATGAATAATTACTCTATATAATAATATAAGAATAAAACACGGAGGACGGAGATCTCTTTTTCTCCCCCTCGTCTGACAGCCCAGCAGCTGATCTCAAAGCACGCTCCCCTCTCCTGCATGGGGGCGTGGTCAGCTGCAACTCACAGAATCAGCCCCCTGCAAAAACAGGGCTGGAAAGAGCAAATAGAGGCATGGCTAAAATGCAGGATCTGTTTGGTATTTTGAAAAAAAAACTGTATTTATATACTTTATATAGGTATGGCCCTACAATATATTGTTCAAATATAGCAGTGTTTCTCAAACTTTTTCATACCAAGGACCACTTAACCAATAAAAAAACACTCGCGGACCACCTAACTCCACAAATATCAAAAAATACATCGTTTTTCTAGAACAGATTACAAATCGCCTGAAAATGGTACAAACAAGTGGCAACATGTGTAACGAAGGTGTTGCGCTGGGCTATATCATGCAATTGAAAGTGAAACTTAACCTCGCTCCATTGCAGAGATATTCCCGCGAGAGTGCGGAAAACTGAAATGAATTAATTTATTTCAAATGTGAAATGTTACCAATATACTCACGGACCACTAGGGGGCGCTCACGGACCACCAGTGGTCCGCGGACCACACTTTGAGAAGCACTGAAATATAGCATGATATGTCCCCTTTAAGTTTAATGGAGAAATGGTATTTGAATCCCTAAACACGATGCTGCCCTCCTCTATCAACATAAAAATGGAAACCTTTCAAATATCTTTCCTGTAGCTTTGCCGCTCCTTCTTGGGTTTCTAAGTGAGTCTATGCATAGGTTTATGGTGTTAACTCTCATAAGTACAAAAGCTTCATCAAATGTATTTGCCCCAGGTCAAAGCACCACTGAACTTCCTCAGGTCTTCGACAACACACACACCAGGGGCGGATCTACCGGGGTGGCAACTGCAACCCAAAAAATAGCCTTTCCACCCCAGCTGCCACCCCAGTTGGCAGCTTTGTTTTGAAAGAAAAGTTGTGGCTCATCGGATATTTCTGAAAGAAAGTCTCTAATGTCCGAGTGCAAGTGAATGCAGCACAAGACGCATGTCTTGTAACCCCTCCCATGGCACGAGCATGGAAATATGATTGGCGGCGATTTCATTTGAACGGGACAGCGCAAAACTATGTGATTTAGTTTTGTATCATAAAGATAAAGCAACACTTTCTCAGAATAAGCAGTTCTTGTTTCTTGTTTCTCAAGGATCAGACTTTTGCTCTCGCTGCAGCTCTTCTCGTTTGCGCTCCCTCATTTTTTTTTCTTTCGGTTTTGACACAAACGTCCCAGGTGGGCGGGACTTTCAGGGGCGTGTCCCCATTGGCTACTCAGTTTCTGAGTGACAGCCCACTACACCACAGATCATACAGTGCAACTCATGCAGCAAACTCCGGAGTCCACTCGGCCACGTTAGTGTCGGTGTCTCCTGGGGAGTTTTCATGAACATATCGGACTTCTCTTATGGATTGCTGTGCATTACACTTGTGTTGTGTAGTTTATACTTTATTCCAACTTTAAATATGTTAATACCTGAACACACTGCTGCTGTTAAATAATTTCCCAATTTGGGATTGATAAAGTGTCTGTCTGCAGGGCTCAACGCTAACTTTTAAAAGTGGTTGCCAGGCTGGCAACCAGGCATCAGCTTTTGGTTGCCAAAACTGAAAATACGGTTGCCATTTTTAGTCACCTTATATTTTAAATAATTAAGATACTATACAGTTATAGTACACACACACACACACACACACACACACACACACACACACACACACACACACACACACACACACACACACACACACACACACACACACACACACACACACACACACACACACATATTGTATTAGGTTCCAGGTTGAATTGAGGCGAATATTTGTAATGTTCAGAGGTTGTTGTGTTTAATATTCATGAGGATATTTGTCATTGTTCAAATGATAATAAACATTAGCATAAAGCATATTTGTCCACTCATATGTTGATAAGAGTATTAAAAACTTGAAAATGTTTCCTCTTAGGTACATTTAAAAAAGATCAAAAATGTGCGATTCATTTGCGATTAATCGCGATTAACTATGGACAATCATGCGATTAAATATTTTAATCGACTGACTGCCCTAATATATATATAAACTCCCCAAACAGGTGAAAACCTACCAGTTTCACCCACTGTCTCTGCCACCTCCCTCAATGCCTGGTTCCTCCGGTTTGTATCTCGTTAATAGTTCTGGTCGTAAAGAACCGGGTGATTTGCTACCGTAATTTCTCATTTGGAATATGAGGAAATGAGTCTGGTTCTCCCTGCTTACACGCGGTTTGATTGGCTAGCGCTTCCAGCTCAGCTTCAAAAGTAGAACATTGCTCAACTTTTGAATCCTGAAAATCCTGGAAATCTTCGCTTCGCTCCCCCACAATGCAGTTCGGCGAAAAGCGAGGCAAAGTGACGTCATCCCCATTCAAAGTCAATGGGCAGAGAAGCGTTGGAAGATTTGTTTAAAGCTGCTGTGTGGACGTACCGTAACTCCCAAAATCGGGCTGGTGTGTAGCGGCCTTTAAGCTGGAACACAGGAAATCTGTAAGCAGCAATATATCTGAGTGCAAGCGTACAGTTTGAGCAGAAGCAGAGCAAATCTAAGTGCAAGCAGGCACTATTTGAGTGTGAGGACAGGGTTTGAGGGAAAGAAATACATCATCTGAACGTGAAATCAATAAAGTATGCTCTCAAATTTAAAGACCACGCTCTTGAATACAGATAGGGAATAACCCCCATACAGATGAGAGAGCTGCAGCGAGAGCAAAAGTCTGATCATTGAGAAAGAAGAAACAAGAACTGCAAACAAAAACCTATGTTAAAACAAAGAAAAAAGACTTATAGTTTACATGATTACACAAATGATTTGTTTGCAACTTATAGTTTTATTTTTGAAATGTATTTTATTTTGCTTGACTCAGTTTTTTTTCTTTTAAACTCATAGTTTTGCTTTATTCTGAGAAAGTGTTGCTTTATCTTTATGATACAAAACTAATCCCATACAAAACGAGAAGCATTCGGATCCAAGTAGATGGAAGGATTGGAATGAGGTATTTGCGGTCTACACTGACAGAGAAGAGACCGTCAAGTTTGGCTGTACTCAACATTGAATCAAAACGCACTAAAGCTTTGGATCTTATTAAGTTTGTGAGGCGTTTTGCTGAACAACATGGAAAATATGTTCTTCTTTGAGGGGGTCTGCCCCCAAAAAACAGTTTTAAGTCCTGAGAAAGTCAAATAAGACGGTGTGTAAAACTACACTGCCCAGCCACAAAAAAGTAACCACTTTGATTGAACTAGGCCAGTAGGTAAGGACCTTCCACTGGATCATAACTTACTGCAGCGATGTATCTTTTTTAGCTGAATACACATTTTTTAACCCTGACTGGAGTCACTTCTTTAGTGCGTGTTATTTTTTATGTAAAGTCCAGGTTGTAACTGTTTGCAGTAGTTGTGGGGCGCTGAACTGTTCCTTTGAATCTTTTGAATTTTGATATATGATCGTAATTACTTGTCTTTGAAATTTGAAGGAGGGTGAGCAAGCATCTTGAGGAACATTCATCATTAACTCCTCCAAAAAATATAGTTTGTTCAATAATAAATGAATATGTGAATCATAAAAGGGATTGACAGCTGATAGGAATGATATGATTGTTAATATTATCATATTAATTCAGACAAACATCGACGAGACAGTTAATTAATGTACTTATTGCAGCAGTCTGCATAGATTTGGTACCCCGGAGGCCTGTACTACGAACCAGGATTTTCGCTTAGCGAGCTAACTTCAGGGAAAACTCTGGGTTTCCGGTCCTACGACGCTGGTTCTCTTTTTAGCGGGCTAGATCTCCATGGTAACTTATGCTGAGTGGCTAACCTAGGGGCCTATACTACGAATCTAGTTCAACATATCCTGGATATGTTTTGAGTTATCCGGTTGACTTAATCCAAAACAAAGCCGCTCTCGCTAAACTGGCTATCAACTCGATGGCTCAAGCCAGCCGTGTCCTATCTAGTTAGGTGCGCGTTCACATGAAAGGGGTGGTATTCTGGAGCATTCGACCAATCACAAACATGGAGAAGCGTACTGACAGCGCAGCGTCATACTTCCTGAATGAAAAGTGTACTTTAATACTAGTCAAATATGAAGAAGTTAAACTTAATGTGGACGTCGATGTGTCCCATTATCATTCATATCACATCATATCACTTCATAATGTATCATATATTTCCTTATCTGAGTCAGCTGAGCCGTATCTGGCCGTGCAACACTCACAGTGTCACATACTGTATGCAGAAGTATTATTTTAAGCAACACATTAAGTTGACGAAACACTCGAGTCAAATGTAGTTAAATTCAGATTGTGTTTTAGACGGGGCAGTGATATCAAAAACCTTTTTCTGTTACCAGCTGTATTCACCTTGCAGGTGCAGCTATGTGGCTTTGATCCTGGATAAAGTGTTTAAGTCATGGATGTTTAAAGTTTAACTTCTTCATATGTCTAGTATTAAAGTTCACTTTTCATTCAGGAAGTATGACGCTCCGCTGTCAGTACGCTTCTCCATGTTTGTAATTGGTCGAATGCTCCAGATACCACCCCTTTCATGTGAACGCGCACCTAACTAGATAGGACACGGCTGGCTTGAGCGATCCACTTGATAACCAGCGTCGTAGTACAGTTTAGCGAGAGCGCGTATGTTTTGGATTAGGCCAACCGGCTAACTCAAACATATCCAGGTTAGGTTGAACCAGCTTCGTAGTACAGGCCTCAGCTGGTCTAAGAGTGAAACAAACTCATTCAGTTATTGTTCAGTTAAAATTCATTACATTATGTCTGCCACCTTATATATTTATATTTAAGGCTTTACTGATGTGCCACAATAATTTCACCTAATGTTGATTTGATTGATTGATACATTTATTTCGAACAAGTAAAATAAATAATTACAAAACAAAACAAATGTTGCAGTGCATAGTCATGTAAGAGAAATCAAAACAAAAAATGACATTTACAACATCAACAGCATTAGCAACATAAACAGTCCCACATCTAGTGTTCGAAAAGGAGTGAGAAGAAGTATAATTCATTTAATCTCACCCCCTTGTCCCTAAAGGATTTATTTATAATCTATAATCTGCAATAATTATCATTTTTATGCATTATTATTGTTATTATTATTAATCTGCTTTACCTGTTGATTGACATATATACATATACATACATACACTGATATACATATACACACCTACATACTCACACATATACACATAGTCAAACACCTTCCCCATCCCTGCACCTCGAGAAAATAATTTCTCTGTATTTCCTCTTGAACTGGTTAATGTCTGGACATGGCTTTAGCTCCACGTTCACACTGTTCCATCGTCTCACTCCACAGGCTGAGATACTAAATGTTCTTCTGGTTGTACGGACCCTATGAATTTCGAATTGAAATGGTCTCCTTGAACTATATCCCCCCACTCGTTGAGTGAATACTTTTGGGATGTTTCCTGGTAAAACGATATGATTAGCCTTAAACATGATTTGTGCCGTTTGGAATTCTACCAGGTCTGTGAATTTTAACAATTTTGACTGCAGGAATAATTTGTTGGTGTGATCAAGGTATTTGGCATTGTGAATGATTCGTATGGCTTCTTTTTGTAGAATACATACTGCATGTAGTTATTGCCCCAGATTTCAGCACAGTCAGTCAGATATGGTAAGACTAGTGAACAGTAGAGAATGCAAAGTGATTTCTGATCTAGAACTTGTTTTACTTTGTTTAGTATGGAAATGCTTCTAGACAGCTTTGATTGTACATGTTTTATGTGTAATTTCCAACTTATTGTGTCTTCTATTATTACCCCAAGAAATGTAATTTCATGGACTCTTTCAATTTCAACCCCATCTATTTGTATTTGCATTTGTGTTTTTGTTCTATGTTTACCGAACAGCATTAATTTTGTTTTACTCAAGTTTAATGATAGTTTATTTTTGTCAAACCATGTTTTTAATTTGTGCATTTCATTTTCTATGTTCTCCACTAGCTGTTCTAAATTGTTATTGAGTTAACATATAAATATTGTGGATTTCCAAGTTAACATTGATTGATATGACTGGGATTAAATCAGCATATGCCAGGGGATGCCACCCCTCAAAATCTCCTGCCACCCTCTTGCCACCCCATGAATATGTGTCTAGATCCGCCCCTGACACACACTGAGCGTAAAGTAAATCCTTATAAATGTTGGCAAGATAATCAAAACTGGGACACAAACACAGACGTCTGTCATTATAGTATGAAGTTGTATTTAAAGCATCCTAATACAGGCTTGACCGACACTTGCTAGCCATTCAGAAATTAGTTTTTTTATTATTACAGTATTAGTTACTAAAATATGTGTTTAGTTATTGGGCTTGGTGCAGACACGTGATCATGGTCAGATTAGTTGATCAAATAATGCTTGTTATATGTCTCTGTTAGATTCACCACCCCAAAATCTGAACCCAGTGGAGGAACTCCTTCGTTCATGGACCAAACAGCTTCTCCGTCCATCAGCCACCCCAGCAGCTTTGGAGTCTACCCTTCGATGTAAGCACACTCCTTTACATTTCATTCTTGGGACAACACCCTGTAAAATGAAAGGGAGTACATTTAGCTTTCATACTTGAAGTACACCTTGATGATAAAGTGTACATATTCTTACTGGAGTCAAATTCCCAGTGCTTGTACTTGTTGGCACTTTATTTTGTTTTGCAATGGTATTGCAGCCTCTACTAAAAGTGACTTTAATCAATAAACAATACATAACCGCAGATTCCTTCAGATTCCCTCAGCTTTTCTGAGCTTTAGTGAGTTTCAGCTTATTGTTCAGCTGTCTGGCTTTACATGTTGTTGGGGTTACTTAATGCTGTCATACAGTTGTTTTCGGCAGCAGCTGGTAGCTGTTTTCAGACTAAATGCCAGGAAACAGCAGACAGACAAAGTAAGGAAAACGCTGTTGGAAATAGTGACGCATTTAGCAGCTTATGAGCCAGATATTTTCCTCAGGAGATGCTGGAGACCAAAACTGAGCGAAAAGAGACAATGCTGGAGTCTTTGTGTTTTTTCAACTGATGGATTTGAGTAATGCATGCTTTTGATGCTTTCTAACTGCTGGACGTGTATATTAGCATTAGCATTGTTTAACAGGTTCGTAATCTTAAAAGATGACAATATGATGTGTGTGTTTCATGGCAGCTTACATACAGACATGTGGGTATGTGTGTATATATATATATATATATATATATATATATATATATATATATATATATATATATATATATATATATATTTGACTCTGTTGCGTTGTCTGGGTTTCTTTGATTAATTACTTACGATATGTTCTACCTGATAATTCACAATTACACTGTAGAAAATCCAACAGAAAAAAACCCAATAATTGTCCAATGAACCTCCTTCATGACAATGTGGCCTGCGTCTCTACTGTCGCCCTGTCAGGAGTGACACCATGTTGGATGCAGAGGGAGACTTCGACCTGGAGGACACGATGGACGTGGCGCGCCATGTGGACGAGCTGCTCCGCAGGCCAATGGCCAACCAGTGGAGCAGTCAGCAGTCCTGAACCTGCGTACACCTTCAGGTCTTCTCCATCTTATCTTACAGAAACACCCGCAACTGCAGCCACAGAGAAACGTCTGTGTGTTCATCGGCTGCTCTGGCAGGTCCACATCACAATGTATTTCAGTTTCAGCTCCCCATAGGGGTTTAGTGTGAAAAGAAGGTCTGGTCATATATCCGTCTCTGTTGAGAAAGTAAACCTACTATCAGAAAGCAATGTTACAGACATTTGATGGTCTTAATGTCCTCTCCCACTTACCGTAGTTTCTCAGGGTTGATGTGTTGTTCCGGTCTGGATTTATTCAACATGAAATACAGTCAGTTTGTACGTAAACTTTGCATTCATATGTGCCTGTTTAGCTTTTAGCTGGCAAAAGGAGAAGTCTGCTTAGAAATGTACAGCAGTCATACCAGCTTTTTTTTCATTCTCAAGGTTTGCTTCATCTACACATTTAACATTGGTGACAAAATGCTGAAACATTCTACATCTTCTCCATTACTGGGATTATGTGTCGCTAATTCTTATCCGTATTCAGTCAATCCAGAATAAATCAAATACGTCACTTTAGCTGAATCTCAACCTCTGTGACCAAAAGTATTTACAGGATGATGGCAAATGTAAGTTTTCCAAGATTATTTTAAGTCTGTTATTTTAAAGAGAGGCTCATAAAGGGAGCAGAGTGAGATGAATAGAACAACAAGCAGGAAACAACCAATGTGTTTCCTAGTTAAGTTGCTATGTCATTGGCTTAGTTGTGGCTTGGACATTGAGACATTTTTTAAGACATGTGTTTTCAGAAACTAAATAAGGTGGTTTAAGTTTAAACCCAGATGCTGATGTATAAAGAGACTGGCTGCAGAGTTAGAGGCAGGGCCCCTGTTATTAATACGAAAGTTGATCAGTAGCGCATACAGCCAAATTGGTATGGATGCAAAATCAATTGAATCTTCTGCATCCATGGGGCCCTTTGTACGACTAATAGGACACATTTTGAAATAAGGGCTGTATAAATGTTTTGGTGGGGAGTCTATTTCCCTTCAGAAAAGAATGATCCCCTGATTTACAGTTATCTTTCCCTCTAAGTCTACAGTGAAAAGTATTTTAAGGCCGAAGTGCATCAAATGACAGATCCGGAAGGTGTAATTCCTTATTTTACCACTAGGAAAATTGCAGACAAAGCAGTTTCTGCCGATAGCTTGACCCATCGCCTCTGGAGCTCACTGATCCTTAGGATTAATTCAAACATGTAGCGCACATGAAGATTACCTTCTTGACCACCTAGCACTAATGATTCAATAACTGGGTCCCCGTTTTGTTTGTTGTCTTGCATAGCATGAGCGTGCCAGTAACGCAAAGACACCATGCTGAATCCGTCAATGTTGCACACTATTAAGCTGAACCAGATAAAGCACTTATGTGCCAGCTAAGGCAAGAAACAACAAGCATTAGTGCTAGCATGTTAGCAAGTAAACATGATTATAAAACAATCCAAGTGTCAATATGTTAAAATACATATTTTATAAGGAAATAGATTGAACAAAAAGTTAGGTTTCAAATATACACACACTTTTATATGGACGAATTACGCTGAATGTGAAAAACAACTTATATTAACAGTGCACACTGATGCATCGATTTGTGACAGTCATCTGTATATTGTTTCAGTTCTGAAACGTTTTCTCAGCAGTACGAGGAATAAATTAACAGTTAATCTGTAAAATCGCATCTAAAACCATCCCCACCATTTTTCACAGCAATTTGGCTGAACCTGTTGTAAACCACAGCTAAGCTAGGCAGATGCTAAGTGACACAGCAGCAGCCGCAGGGAGTTGATGAGTTTACATCTGACATTTACTTTTGTAGTAAAACCACCAATATGTCTTTGTAACATGCTAAAACATGGTGTTACAATAGTACAGGTGTAGAAGGATCAGCCAACACATTTGGTATTGTGAGCTACACAGCAATATTTATCTAAGCTAACATTAGCGTACATTAGCTACCGGTCACACACGTTTTGAACTAAACAAGGGGGAGTTCATTACTTATGAGTTCCTTTGGAGAAAGATTTCATTAATGAGGTCTAAGGTTGCATAGTCTGGTTTCAAACTATCTTTTGGTGCTTTTTGTATAATATTTTATATTGCAGCCATGTTATGAATTTCCTGTAGCCTACTATACCTTAAAGCAAAATATTGTATTAGTCATAGATGCCATCATTTCTTATAAAGTCAATAAGTGCTTGTTGATTTAAAGACTTAACTCACAAGTCATATTTTTTTACTTTTGTCAGATGGAGTTTTAAATACAATGGGTGATATAACACGATCATTTAGAGGGATATTTATTGATTACAATTGTTTACATAAAGACAATATCCGTGAGAATATAGTTGGGGTTTACCAAATTAGAATTCAATTTACCAACGTCAAATTAGCTACATTTTCTGTGCCTGAATCTGTTATAGTCGTGTTAATGCTCGTTGCCTTGGTGAATGTTTATACAACATTTACATTTGAAATCTGGAGATATGGAAAGGAATCCCCAACAATCACCAGTTAGTCTTTTTAAACTCTTTCTAAAATATTTGGAGCGGTTCTCAGTCAAGTTGCATTCATTGCAACATTACCACCTCTTACTTAATGGATGTATGGTAGTGTTAAAGTAACGTCATGTAGATTAATAATTAGTCAGAAAAATATAATGCTACAGTATTACTCCTGCCCTCACATTTGTGCTGCACAAAAATAATTAGCCAATCATAGCAGAGTATTTTTTCATAAAACAGTTTATATAATGTATCATTGCTATGTGATATAGTGCAGGTCATGGGATATTAGTGTTAAACAATCAAAGAGGATTTGTATAATATCCTATCATGCTGGGTCTCATTTGTTTTAGCACCTGAAGCTACCACAGAATGCAGAATATTGAACTGTTGTGATTGTTCTTGGATAATTATTTCCCCACCTATTATGATTATTATTTGCATCTTCTGGTTGTTTTTTGAGTCAACATTTACATTAATGAGCATAAAATGGATTATCTTTCCATGTGGACAGTTTCGATGTTACAGTCAGTGCTCTTGGATTTCGGCACCAATATCTTTTCTACTTAATGATCTCTTTCATATAGCTCAGTTTTCTGCCCTAGAAACTGTGGATGTCCCTCTTGAATAGTTGGTCAGAGCCATGTTCATATGAAATGCATCTTGTTTTGGAAGCCAGGAGCACTGTTTACAGGACTGCCCTCTCACTGTACATCCTTTATTATCAATCATGGTGTAACAAATTAAATTGAAGTGACCTTTGTGTTTTTTTGCTCATCTAATGTACTCAGCTTAACGTTTGTGTTAACCCAAAGTAAGCTTGTCATTTAACCTGAGCCTAAACTTGACTAAAAAAACTGTACAGTGAATGTTCAACATGAATTAATAAAATATTGGAATCAGTTAGTGGATGCATTAAACTGACTCAAACTAAAATGACAAACTACAACATGTTATATTGATTTGAGAAGTCTCAATGTGACAGTTTCAGTGAATGTTTATGACATAGAGAATCTTAAACATATTCCGTCTATGAATATATGTTGTCAAATGTTACTTTGAGGTGTGTGCTGTCTTACAGCTTTGTCATCTGTCAGTGGATTCCTTTGGGAGAATGCTCATACCTCATACTGTGTAATAGTTATTTCAGTCAGAAGTGTTTGTCGATCATTTATCCTCACAGCTTCTGAAAGTGCCAGTCCAATCATTGGGCAGGTCTGCGCCCTCATGGTGGAATAATTCATGCTCTGCATAATAAGCTTTTTCTAAATTCTCACTTCAGTAGTCTTTTAGTTTTGACGTACAGAGGCTTTGTAGATCTGTCTGTGCCTTGTGGATTGTGAAGGGACAGCACGGTCCATACAGGACATTTTAAAGCCATTGTCTTGACTCTGCACTACTAACAGCCTTAACTAAGGAATGTCTAATCACCTTGAGAAACAAAACTCACCCAGAATGGAAGTAAACACCATAAACCTCAAGAAAACTCACTGTGAAATAAGTTTAGATTAGTCCAAATCAACCAAATAAAACCTGATGACTTGAGTGTATACCTTTCTGCGTCTTATGCTTTTTGCTTGATAGGTAAATAAAACACAAACTTTGATGGTGTTCGAACTCGGCAAAAGCAAACAAGCACTGTGATGTTTACACCAGCAGTTATTTCGTGTGTTTGTGCTCATCAGTTCTTCTCCTGCTTGTCTTTAAATCAATTTAATTTATGTTTGTCCTCAGTGTAATTTACTTTTCTAGCCTGGTGTCTTTGCTTGCTTATGTGCAGCCAGTGGCCTGTTTGGGTACTTTGTATTTACATCCTTATTGTGCCACTTTCTGCTGGAAGTTAAATGTAGGGATTGGGGATTTGAAAATAAAAGTTTTTTTTATAATGAATGATATCCCACTGTGGTTTGTTGAACCAGGTACTGTATTGATGAGTCTACTTTTTTTGCTACATAATACATTTAGCCACTTGGCAAGTATGCTGAATTATTATGTGAAGCTTGGAGCTAGTAACTTAAAAAAAACGAGAAGTACATTAAAACTGTACTTCAGTATTGGAGGTAGGTTATTGCTTTCCATTAACATCGCCATGTAAATAAATACAGGTGTTTGACCTCATAAAGATTTGGTTGTTTGATCAGTAGCCATTGCACACAGTTTGCTGTTTTCATTCTGTAATCTTCTGCTGTTTAGAGGCATCACCGTGCTTATTGTGCAGAAAGTGTATGCATGTGCACTATTGATTAAGACATCATGACATGTCTGACTGATGGCTGTGTCAGCAGTAATCAGAAGTGCCTGATTCTAATTTGTACCAAAGTAGCCTACTAAATGCTAGTAACCCTTTACAAGCAAACTTGAGAACCATTTGTCTTAATTTATTTGTCTTGATTATTATTATTATTATTATTGATTATTTATTTGTCTCCATTTTTCTTGATTTATTTCAAACTTGTTTTAACGGTTTCGGAAGTAAGCAGTCGATGATCAGGTTGACATTGTGCTTTTATGACATGATCTACATCAAGCTTGCTCCTGAAGTTAGGCCACTTTTGTAATATTCCCATCATATGACAGATTGATCACATGACAAACTGGTTTCTCATAGGAGTGGTTTGTAATACGAACTGCATCCTCTGATTGGCTGTAAATTATACACGGCAACAGCTCTCTCTTTGATTGGCCCGCAGCATTTCAGTCACCCAAAGCTTCCTGGTTATATGCAAATGAGGAAATACATTTGTTTTTAAACCTGTGCTTCGGTGGGAAACTGGATTAATTGGTCAGGGGTTCAAAATGTCACACAGAAGCGGATACAGTCTGGCGCTGATTGTCGTGTTTTGTCTTTTTGTAACGGCCTTTTGTAAGTTCCCAACTCTAGACCACTTAAAACCGAAAGCCAGCGACAAAAGCCAGGGCAGAGCGGTGGTGGAGCTGCTAAAGCGGCTGCTGGGGAACAGGTCCACGGAGTTCATAGTGTCAGTCAACCGGAGCCTTTCCAACGACAGCCTGGATGTGTGTGAGCTCAGGTCCACCAGGAACAATAAGATATACGCTACAGGCAGCAGCGGAGTGGCCGTGGCTACTGGCATTTACAACTATTTGAAATATTTCTGCAACTGCCATGTTTCGTGGTCCGGTGACCAGCTGGATGTGCCCCGTCCTCTTCCGAGGGTCACCGGCGTCCTGCGCATCAACACCCAGCACAGGTCAGTGAACACAGCACACTGTTAGCTTACTGACACAGCTTTAAAGAAGCATTAGCAGGAGGTTTTTCATTTGGCATATATCCAATACACTAAACCACTTTTATTTCACAAAAATTCTGTTTACATTATTCACTTTTCACATAACCAATTAAGTGTTTTCCGCACGGGATACGGTGAGGCAGTTGAGCGCGAGCGGTATTTGTTACTACTCTCTCTGACTGTCTATCATTCCGCTACTTATAACTGTGGGAATGCTGATTCAGCAGCTCAAACTGTCCACATCTTTATTCTTACATTTATAATTTCTACTTTTCAATTCAATACAAAAAAAAAAAGATTGGGGAGGTAAGCAGTAGTAGTCCTGTACTTGTTGTACTTTTGAGATAAATTAGTATTTCCATCAAATTATGCTTTCGTGCTTTTTTTTCTTTTTTTTTGGGTCACACTAAACAAAGACCTGTGATGTGTTAAAGATTAAACTATAGAATAGAATAGAATATCTTTATTGTCATCACATCAGTGTAACGAAATTCAGTTGGCATATCTCACTGCAGTACATAAATAAGAACACATCCATAGAAAGCCAAGATTGCATCTCACTGGAGGCCAAATTAATGCCATCCATAGTTAGTATATCTTTAGATAATTTGTTTCGTAGATTCTTCGGGCCAAGTACAATAACTTCAGTTTTGGTCGTGTTTAACATCAAAAAGTTTAAGGTCATCCACGTTTTTAAGTCCTTGAGGCAGTCTTGATAATATTTGAGTATCATCCGCATAACAATGACAATTTACAGAATGATTCCTTATAATATTGCCTAACGGAAGCATATATAATGTGAACAAAATAGGTCCGAGCACTGAGCCCTGTGGCACTCCGTGGCTAACTTTGGTTTGCGTGGATGATTCATCGTTGACACATACAAACTGAGATCGTTCAGATAGATAGGACCTAAACCAGTCTAAAGCAGTTCCCTGTATGCCAACTAAGTGCTCTAATCTTTGCAATAGGATATCATGGTCGATAGTATCAAATGCAGCACTGAGATCGAGCAAAACAAGAATAGAGACAAGTCCCTTGTCTGAGGCTATTAGAATGTCATTTGTGACTTTAACCAGAGCTGTCTCTGTGCTATGATGTGTTCTAAAGCCAGACTGAAAATCTTCAAATAAATCATTGTTTTTTAAGTAATCACACAGCTGTTTTGCGACTGCTTTCTCAAGAATCTTTGAGAGGAACGGAAGATTAGAAATAGGTCTATAGTTGGCTAAAACCTCTGGATCGAGGTTGTGCTTTTTAAGAAGCGGTTTTATCACTGCTAGTCTGCTACTTTGAATGATTGTGGAACATAGCCTGATAATAAAGACATATTCATAATATTTAATAAAGAAGTGCTAATTAATGGAAACACTTCCTTCAACAGCTTAGTTGTAATTGGGTCTAACATACACGTTGATGGTTTAGAAGAGAGAATCATTGAATTTAATTGTTCAAGGTTTATGGCTGAAAAGCATTCTAGTTTACTATCTAGTGTAATATTAGAACTTACGTTTCCGGGAGCTGTTGATAACACTATACTGGTCAAAGGCAAGAGGTCATTAATTTTGTTTCTAAGAGTAACAATTTTATCGTTAAAAAAGCACATAAAATCATTACTACTGAGTGCTATGGGAATAGAAGGCTCAATCGAGCTGTGGCTTTCTGTCAGCCTGACTACAGTGCTGAAAAGAAATCTTGCATTATTCTTATTCTCATCTATTAATGAAGAGTAGTAGGCTGCTCTCGCTTTACGCAGTGCTTTCTTATATTCATTGAGAGTAATATGCCAAATTAAATGAGATTCTTCAAGTTTAGTGGAACGCCATATCCTTTCAAGTTGTCTCGACTTTTGCTTTATTTTGCGGGTTTCGGCATTATGCCATGGAGCTAATCTATGTTGTTTTATTTTCTTCTTTTTCAAAGGAGCAACAGAGTCTAATTTTATTCGCAGCGCATCTGTAGCACTATCAACAACATGATCAATTTGGGGTGGTGTACATTTTGTATAAGTTTCCTCCCTTTCATGCAGACATGCTATCGAGTTAAGTATTGGTGGAATCTCTTCCTTAAATTTGGCTATAGCACTAACAGATAGGTTTCTGCTGCAGGAGCTTTTGACTAATGCTTTGTAGTCTAGTAACAGTACTTCAAAAGTTACTAAGAAATGGTCGGATAAAGCAGGATTATGTGGTTCGACTAATAGTTGCTCAATTTCAATACCATAAGTCAGAACAAGGTAGAGAGTGTGATTATAGCAGTGGGTTGGTTTATTTACACTCTGACAGAAACCAACAGAATCTAATATAGAGTTAAATGCAACAGTAAGGCTATTTTTATCATCGTCAACATGAATATTAAAGTCACCTACGATAATTACTTTATCTGTTTTAAGAACCAAAGTTGATAAAAACTCAGAGAATTCTGATAAGAATTCTGAATAAGGACCTGGTGCACGGTACACTGTAACAAATAAGATTGGCTGCAAAGTTTTCCAGGTCGGATGCGTAAGACTAATAACGAGACTTTCAAAGGAGGTATAATTTAATTTTGGTTTAGTATTGATAAGTAAACTTGAGTCAAAGATTGTGCTTTTCGTAGTCAAAAGCCGAACAATGGTGTGGCTGTTGCATTTGTAAATACTTCTCCTATTGTATAACCCGTACGCTCTGATTGCAAATGTACTGACGTCAGCAAAAAACTTCGTTGCAAAAGTTGTTTTCCCACCAGATTCACTCACACTGCTGCCCTCCAATGTGTGCCATGTGATGTCTATGTATTGAACTCTATGATGGCAGTGTTTGGGTGCCCCCTCCTCTGCAACGCAGCAAATCCCAACCCATGAGTGCATGACAAATGGAGCGTTGTCAAACATTACTTTTCATTGTTTACTGTGAGCACTATGGACACTTGTGCTGCGGCCGGGCCCTTTAAAGTACCCTTCCTTTCAATTATCGGTTGTGCATTAGAGCCGCATCAGTTCACACCAGTAATGTCATGTGCACAGTCGTTAGATTGAAGAACACTTTACTTTCCCATGAGTATAACTTGATGGCGAAGAGCCAGTTGGAAGCTTGGCTTATTTAGCAGCTGCCGTAAACTGAGGCTTAAAAACAACAGTGCCTGTTTGATTTAACTGTACATTGTTTTAGCAACAAATTCAATAGAAATTGACAATTAAAATATCTGTTACACAATTATGTAACAAAGAGGTGTAGTACAAACACTCAGCAGTGTTGGTGTGAGAAATGGCCATGGTCAAAAGGAATCTGTTTAAGAATATATCTGGACACTTTTCTATTGTGTTGTCTTTTCTATTGTCTCTGTTCCCATCACATTAGTGTTGTAATGAAACAGTGACGATAAAGGGCATGAGGTTTCAACATTAAACCTGTCTGAGAATATCTGAAGTCAGCACAGTTGCACTGTATTGTAGGTTATGGTTTTATTTTCAGTCCAAAGGGAAGCATTTAACTGTCCAAACACTGACTGCTTGTCATTATTCTTCCACAATGTAATAAAGTTGGAGGACATGTGAGGGACAGTTTAAACAAAGGTTGAATAAGAGGTCAGCATACTGGATTGTTAGTCCACAATATGGCTCAAGCTCTAAAAAGTTTAGGATGATTACTATTTCTATTTGTTCATACCTGTTCAGTATTTATCGCCTGTGGGCCTATTTAAGACAGTTTTAAAATAACAGTTTTTTGTGTGTTTGTAACTAGATTCCGGTATTACCAGAACGTGTGCACGTTCAGCTACTCCTCTGTGTGGTGGGACTGGCCCAGATGGGAGAGAGAGATAGACTGGATGGCTCTCAATGGGATCAACCTGCCGCTGGCCTTCACTGGCCAGGAGGCCCTGTGGCAAGAGGTGAGGGCTCAGAGTGACTCCCTACAGAAACAACATCAAACACTGGGGACGCTGGTTACAAACACTCCTTAGGGTCAATGTACTGTAAGCATTAAGATTTATTTGAATATCTATATTTTGTCTAACGTGCTTCTTCGAAAAGGGCTAACTATTGATAAGGGATTAAATAGAATAATGAATCTACTGATTTAATCTGAGAGCAAAAACAGTGGTGCAGGAATGAGTCGAAAAATTAGTTGGCATTTTTAGCACTTTCCGGTTCACTCTCAAAGTCAATATAATTAGTTTTTGGTTAGATTTCCGAAATAAGGTCTGTGGTTAACACAAACAGAAGAGATGTTCATGTTTTGTTGCACGACATAAAATGTATTTCAGTAAATACCCCACTGGTGAACATCTGAAGCCTCAATGTGTTTTAGGAAAGGCGGTTGCTTAAAAGTGACTAAATGAGACCACTAAAGGTCATTAAGCAGGACATTAGCCACCTTTAGCTGAGCAATGTTAATGCTCAGCCATGCAAATATGACATAGTTTGTTTATAGCCTAACGTTATTTGTTTTACTTCTGGTAATTGCATTTACACTTTAAAAAAATCATTAAAATGTTGTTAATATGTGGACATTATCCTGCTAAACAAAACATGTAAGCATCATAAACAAATGTTTGCCACAGACCTTGTTTCCTGCTATAATCTAAAATCCAATTTCAAACTCTCCTTGCTTTCTGTGGAGGAAGTGCTTGTGATGTTCCTCCTTCAACAACACGTCATCACTGCCCCACTGTAAAGCCCCCGTCACACTGTCCCGAAATTGACACCCGATGGACACACGATAAAGGAAATGTTCAAATTCGGCTGTGATCGTAGCAACATCGGGCCATTCGTGAGGGCATCTTCAGCCATCGTATGACCGCCGGTGGAGTTTCTCAGGCTCCAGCAGCAACTTCGTGAGCGGCAACTTCGTAAGGCACTCGTGAGGGCATCTTGTCAAGTCATGTCATCTTCGTGTTATCATCGGTGCATTCGCCCTCACTCTGATCGGGGCGAATGCCCGATGGCACCAATGATAACAAGATGCCCTCACGATGGCCTTACGAAGGGCAAAATTGACACACGAATTCAACACGAAAATGAACCTTCGCGAGGTCCTTCGGCTATTTTTTGGCATGCCAAAGATTTTGTCACCGCTCACGAAGTTGCTGCTGGAGCCTGAGAAACTCCACCGGCGGTCATACGAAGGCTTAAGATGCCCTCACGAATGGCCCGATGTTGCTACGATCAGAGACGAATTTGAACATTTCCTTTATCGTGTGTCCATCTGGTTGTTTTATTCCACAACAAAATCATGTAAACATATTATGTAAATAACCCAATTTGTGTTCTGTGAAACTGAAAAGGATATCATATATTATTTTGAAGGCGAGTTGACAGGAGGTTGTTGTTGCTATTGTTGAGATCTTCATAGTATGTTGAATACTTAAAACGAAAGTTAGTTATAATCAATTATATTCTTGTATAACCCACAATGAAAATGCTTCATATTTTAGGTTTTTCTATATTTACAGTATAAACAAAACCAAGTGGTTTGTTAAGTTGAGTGTAAGACCTATAATGATTTATGGGTGTCACTGATAAGAGAGTAGGCAGTTTCTTCCCTCTCCTCTCACAGCAGTACACAGGGAGGGGGGCTCCGGACTTAAGGAGAAATGCATTGAGGCCTCAAAAAGGTTGTTATGTCATAACCATAGAATATGTCTGGTCATGTCCTTTTTTTACACAAACATGGGAAGGTGTGTCTTATGCCATAGCCAATAGAATATGTCCAGTCCTGTACATCAGTGGCCATGCCCAGTTTGTTTCATTGGTTGGGTATGGAGAAGGTGTTTTTGGGGTTTTCTATCCGGTTTTTTTAGCATAAAGAGACTGGCTTTTTGGAGGGAGCGAGACAGAGAGAGGGGGGTTCCCCTGGTATACTCTCTCCCGGTAGGCTCTGGCCCTCAGAGCTGGGTTAATAGCTCTCTGTAAGGTTCTCTCAAACTTGGTAAATATCTCTTGATTTTCTTGGTTGGATGCTGAGTGAATTTCTTGGTTGAATACTGAGTGAATTTCTTTGTTTGCTGAGTGGAATGATTTGATGGGAGATGTGTTTGTGAATATTAGTACCCGCCACCTGTGAGGATCTTCCTCCGAATTAATGCGGATAGGAATGGGTTTTTGAATGTTATTCCCGCCGTCTGTGTCGGAAAAAAGGTATGAAATTGATTGGGTGAAAATGAAAGTTTGAATGTGCTTTTTATTATCACCGGTCATTTATGAGGAAATGCCTCTAAATTCTATCGGGAGATTTAGAAATCACAACTGAATTGGGCAGTTGAAATTACAATTTTGGTAATAAATGTAAGACTAGGTAAAAACCCTGTAATAGTTTATACCTATTTTTCTTCAAATAAACTGATCCCACCTTTTGGATTGGGACAACTTAAAAGACATCTGCGCTCTCCTCTCCTGCTTCAAAGGTAATATTGCACCCTGCCACACTCACTTTTAGGTAGGAACACACCTCATTTACTGATATCAAAATCCTTCGGGATTGCTTAAACAGATTTAAGAGAGTTGTCTGAATTGAAACAGCAGTTAATTGAACCTGGTTCTTCGGGGAGTTAATAGAGGTGAGATCTTGCTGACGTTGGTGGATCTGAGCCAAGCAGTAAACTTACATAGACTCAATAACTTTGGTCAGGTCAATTAGTAGGTCAGAGTAATTTCCCGGAATAAATTATCAGGACCTCACCCACTCTAAACACTATGGAAACAACAACATGACGGAGAAAACGTAATATCTTCTACATATAAAGACGGAGAAAGTAAGGCAAGGCAAGTTTATTTATATAGCACTTTTCAACACAAGGCAATTCAAAGTGCTTTACAAAAAATGAAAGACATTAAGAAAATGGCATCATTAAAAAGAAAAGCTAATAAAATAAACATTAAAAGAAAAATACATGGATAAAAGTTACAGTGCAGTCTAAGATATGAATAGTTCAATTAAAAGCAGCGACAAAAAGAAAAGTCTTCAGCCTGGATTTAAAAGTAGTCAGAGTTGCAGCGGACCTGCAGGTTTCTGGGAGTTTGTTCCAGATATTTGGAGCATAATAACTGAACGCTGCTTTACCATGTTTAGTTCTGACTCTGGGGACAGAAAGCTGACCAGTCCCTGAAGACCTGAGAGATCTGGATGGTTCATCATTTAGCAGGAGGTCAGAAATGTATTTTGGGCCTAAACCATTCAGTGCTTTATAAACCAGCAGCAGTATTTTGAAATCTATTCTTTGACACACAGGAAGCCAGTGTAAAGACTTCAGAACAGGAGTGATGTGATCCACTTTCTTAGTGTTAGTGAGGACTCGAGCAGCGGCGTTCTGAATCAGCTGCAGCTTTCTAATGGATTTTTTAGTGAGACCTGTGAAGACACCATTGCAGTAGTCGAGTCTACTGAAGATAAAAGCATGGACAAGTTTTTCCAAATCCTGCTGTGACATTAGTCTTTTAATCCTAGATATATTCTTTAGGTGATAGTAGGCTGATTTAGTAACAGTTTTAATGTAACTGTTGAAACTCAGGTCAGAGTCCATGACTTCACCTAGATTTCTGGCTTTATCTGTTGTTTTGAACATTGCACACTGAAGCTCAGCGCTAACTTTTATACGTTCTGACTTGGCTCCAAAAACCATTACCTCAGTTTTATTTTTGTTTAATTGGAGAAAGTTCTGACACATCCAGTCATTGATTTGTTCAATGCACTTACACAGTGTTTGAATTGGAGCATAGTCTCCTGGTGAAATGGTTACGTAAATGTGTGTGTCATCCGCATAGCTATGGTAACTTATTTTGTTGTTCTTCATTATCTGAGCCAGTGGTAGCATGTAGACGTTAAAGAGAAGAGGCCCCAAGATGGAGCCTTGAGGTACCCCACATGTCATATTTGTCAACTCAGATGTGTATTTACCTATAGAAACAAAGTTGTTTCTGTCCTTTAAGTAGGATTCAAACCAATTTAGAACTGTTTCCGAAAGTCCCACCCAGTTTTCCAGTCGGTCTAGTAATATGCTGTGGTCAACAGTGTCAAATGCAGCACTGAGATCTAATAATACTAACACTGAAGTTCTGCCACTGTCTGTGTTTAAGTGGATGTCATTGAAGACCTTTACAAGAGCAGTCTCAGTGCTGTGGTTTGGACGAAAGCCTGACTGGAACACATCAAAACAGTTATTTAAATGCAAGAAATTACTCAACTGTTGAAAAACAACTTTTTCAATGATTTTACCTAGAAATGGCAGGTTTGATATGGGCCTGTAATTGTTCATTACTGAAGCATCTAGATTATTCTTTTTTAAGAGCGGTTTAATGACTGCAGTTTTCAGGGCCTGTGGAAAAATACCTGAGTGAAGAGATTTGTTTACTATATGAAGTAGATCTGAGGCCATGCAAGGCAAAACATCTTTGAAAAATCCTGTTGGAATAATATCAAGGCCGCAGGAGGAGGATTTCAGAAGTTGTATAATGTCCTCTAGGTTTTTATCATTAATCTGATGGAATTGTGTTTTCGACATTCTCTTTTTTCTGTTTTCACGGTCATGGCCTTTCTCCATGGAGATATTTTCTTGCCAGACACTTCCTTTACCTTAGTTGGAGCAATATTATCTATAACATTTTTAATTTTTGAATTAAAATGATCTACTAGCTCATTTACTGAGATGTTAGCAGGGGCAAGTGTGGAAGAAAAATTCTGAGTAAACATTTCCCTAGTATTTTCAGTTAAATATCGCTTTGTGGTTACCTCTTTTTGAACATTTTTGTGAACAGAAATAGAGCTCTCAAAGAAAACACAGGAATGGTCAGAGTGCAACATCAGTCACCAAAACCTTAGAGATATACAGACCCTTTGAGATAATTAAGTCCAGGGTGTGCCCCTTATTGTGCGTGGGCTCTGTGAAGATAAACTTCTGTTGTTGCAATGTTGAGGTAGAATGAAGGAGTCTGGAACGTCGTTAGCCAAAGCACTGAGAGTTTTATTGAACACAGTACAGACAATACATACGGCCGGGGAGATCACTTTAGTTTCCCACCCTCCTCGTGGTCCACCAAAATCATTTCTGTCAAAAAGCCTCCAAGCATCGCAGCTACACGAGGAGAGGCGGCCCACAGAAGCCCGCGTTTACCTAATCAATAGCAGATGGGAGACAATAACCTACTTGTCTCAAAGAGATGCAGACAAGCCTCAACCCTCCCCCACGGATATAGGAGAAGCGTTTGACCTGTGACCTCAACCTACAGAGGAGTCTTTGACTGATAGTTACAACACATGTTTGCAGTATCACAGAGTCTAAGAAACTATAAGAAACTCTATAAACAGATCAGATTAAAATATTCTCTTACAGGCTCCGTCACATGCTGAGTCAGTCCATAGCTATCAAGAACACAAAACAGTTATTTTGCCCCTCTGTCCTGGGGGTTGTCAACATGGATGTTAAAATCACCAACAATGACTAGACGGTCAAAATCAATACACACTGTAGACAGCAGTTCGGTAAAATCCTCAAAAAAGCTTGCACAGTATTTGGGTGGTCTATAGATATTTAGGAACAGAGCTCGAGAGGAGCATTTCAGCTGAAGGGCCACATATTCAAAAGAATCAAAGTTTCCATAAGATGTCTTCCTGCATTGAAGGGAATCATTGAACAGAATAGCAACTCCACCCCCTTTCTTATGCATTCTTTCCTGACTCATAAAACTAAAGTTGGGAGGGGTTGATTCGATAAGAACAGCTGCACTGTTATTTTGTTCAATCCAAGTTTCTGTTAAAAACATAAAATCGAGATTGTGCTCAGTGATAAAATCATTGATTAAAAATGTTTTTCCTGCCAAAGACCTGACATTTAATAAAGCTAGTTTAAGTTTGTTAAACACACTATCAGTCATGTTTTTTGTAACAAGCTGTGGCTGACATGGAATCACTGCTAAATTAGATACACTCACACAAACGTTTGAGCGCTTCCTGTTTCTAAGATGATTCACCGCTCTTAATCTATTACCTATCAACACAGATATCGGCAAAGCTATAGGCAGGCAGGGCCCCGGCATGTCCTGGAAAGAGTTGAGAGTGCCATACGCCCTTGAGCCTGGACCCAGCAGATATCAGTTTGCTGTGTTTTGTACACACACATCCCTATCAGGCTTTGAAGGGGAGGGAGGACCCACCACCCTGCTCCTCTCATCATAGGAGGGCAGGGTGAGGGCTACACTGTAGAAAGGGGGGTTTGGAAATCTGCTTCCATCTTCCTTGTATTGTTGTGGTTTGGATGATTGTGGTAGGCATGGTAATAAAGCCGGGGGAGATGGTGCGCATCTCTGCTTCGGTGATTTTGGTGGGCGTCGTTGAGGGGCGGGGGTAAAGGACATGCTGCCAACCCTGCGTGTCGCCTTCATGCGGTCATCGAACTCCAGGGGGGTGGGCAAGGGTGAGCGGAGAGTAGAGAGAGCTGGGGGATGAATGAAGAGTATCCTCAAAGGCGTTGACAGGGAGGGTGACGGGCAGTGGAGACTCCTCCATTTGTCTCATAGGTCTCCCATAATCAGAACATTCCTCAGGCGGGTGCAGTGATACTTCTTCAGGGTTTTCTGCGCGATGTGTTGTGTCTTTCTCCTGTTTTGATTCCTCTTGCCGCTTGTCCTTGGCAGAGGGAACAGATTGATGACGCAGGCAGTTGAATATGTTAGAGATAAACAATTTCACTCCTGACTTGTTCAGGCAAACTCCATTTGCCTTGAAAAGTAAAGAACAAAGTCTGAAAATATCAGTACAGTATCATAGTACTTTAACATAATTGTTTGTGTTACTTTCGTTGCAGTTGTATGTCTTAAATGTAATGTAAATGTTGCCTTCGTGTGTGGTTCGGGGCCATCTTCGTGCGAAATTCACAATTCAATATTCGTGTGTCCATCGTGTGTACATTTCGGGACAGTGTTACAGGGGCTTAAAGCCAGTCATTAACAGGATCAGGAAGATAAATTGTAATTTAATTTGATCTTTGCTACCATAGAAGCATGATACATTTATTGATATGTGAACATGAACTTATTACCTTGTTGTGTCCTTCAGGTTTACAAGGCTCTCGGGTTGAACCAGTCAGAGATCGAGGAGTTCTTCTCCGGCCCCGCGTTCCTGGCCTGGAACCGAATGGGGAACCTTTTCAAGTTTGGAGGGCCCCTGCCTCAGTCCTGGCACGTGAACCAGCTCTTCCTCCAAGTACTGAACCGTCCATTCCTGTCAACACAGATGAAGCCACTATGACTAGAATCATGTTTTTATAACTCTGGCACCACCAAGTGGTAGTGACAAACACATGAGTGAGACTGAGTGAATGTGCTGAAAGAAGACCAGTTACAAACTGCAGTATGTCTTATCTTTTTAAAACACAAACTATTAACACATCACTATTGTACATAATAGTGGCTTCAGAGGTATTTTCTCTTTATATGATACCGTTGCACTCACAAACGGTTTTGTGAAGATTTCAAACAGTGACAACAAACTAATTGATTTAATCCACTTTATGAGAAGGTAGAATTGAATTGAACTGTTCACATTAGTTAGTGGATTAAACCTTTTTTTATATGTTTTTCTCTCTTTTTGCAGTTTAAAATCTTGGAGCGGATGAGATCCTTCGGAATGATTCCCGTGCTGCCGGCCTTCTCTGGGAACATTCCCGCTGGAATCCTCAGGTGACTCATGCTGGTTTAGGTTTCAACCTTATAGAAATATACTGCTGATTTTTTTTTTAGGCTCGTACTAACTTTTAGGCTCGTACTAACTATCTAAAGTAATTTAATATAAGTCACCTACTGAGAACAATCCCATACTTAGTTTTCCTAAATGTTGATATGAATATTAATCGTTGGAATAACAGCTGTTAACTGCGAATTGTTCACAAGCTTCAATTCAATAAGCTTAATTCATTGATCTTATATGAATATACATTACACTTGTTGTTTTTATCCAAAGCGACTTACATACATTCAGTACTGTGGGCAATCTCCACAGGAGCAATTTGGGGGGAAGTGTCTCAGGGACACAACGACATGCTGACTGCAGTGGGACTCGAACTTGCTAACCCCTGATTCGAAGTTCAGCGCACTACCCACTGAGCCACAGCCTCCCACAAGATACAAGATAACAACTCCTGAACTTGATGAACGTGATCAGCTTAAAGATTTCTCACAAACTCAACTTCATTATTATAGTATTATCTGTCTATCATGCAGACCAAATGCTTCACATTCACTGTTCGAGGGACATTTATGCTGAGAATCACCGCATGGACTAGCCCAATATCCAAATCCAAGGAAGCCCAATATTTGTAAACAAACGCTGTGTTAAAATTCAATTTGAAAGGAAGTGTTGTGTTGCTGCAGAGATAACCCAGCATACAAAATGTTTACATATTTGTTTGGAACAGATATGTTTCAATGATAATGAGAAATTGATCAATCCCTCCAAAACTATAAATCATATCGCAATTGCAAAGTCTGTCAAATGAATCCCACTCCGTTTTCAGATTCTGCAGCCCTAATACTGATAATTCTGTGAAGATAATATGGCTGGGCCCAGTGAGGTGCAGATTCAGCTCTAACCTCTGAGGTGTTTCCTGTGTTTCAGGCTGTTCCCAGAAGCCAATGTGACCAGGCTGGGCCCCTGGTCTCACTTCAACTGCAGCTACTCGTGCTCCTACGTCTTAGACCCCCGGGACCCTCTGTTCCTGCAGATCGGCTCCCTCTACCTGTCCCAGGTGGTGAAGCAGTTTGGAACAGATCACATCTACAACACTGACACTTTCAACGAGATAACCCCCCCCTCCTCTGACCCCGCCTACCTGTCAGCAGTCAGCCGCTCCGTCTTTGCCTCCATGACCGCAGGTGAGCGTCTACCACTAATGTCCTGATCGAACGCTTCCTGCCAGAATGCTGATGTTCTGATGTGACAAGTGAAACAACCGATGACCCGATTATGACCTGTTGTCAGGCTTAGGGAGTAACGGATTACATGTAACAGGATTATGTAACCAGGACACAAAAAATACTGTCTTCTATGGGTGTAACGGTATCCGTATTCGTCCCGTACCGTCACGGTTCGGCACACGCAGTCACACAACGAATATGCCTTTTTTTTACGAGCGGGTCTGTCGCTGAAAAAAAAAAAAAAAAAAAAAGTCTGTCATTCAGGGCAGTATCCACTACACTATATATAATCTAGGGGGCGGTATTGCGCCTAAAAGCTGTTTGCCAGCCGCCCTTAAACAACAAATGAAGAACAAGAAGAAACACAACAACAAAACGAACAAAATACAAGAAGAAGAACAGTTAGTATGGCGATTTCAGATAACACACAGGAGCTAGAACCCACCTGCTTCTTTTAAATCAGCTGTGTGGGAACATTTCAGGTTCCCTGTGGACTACAATAACGATGGAGTGCGAGTGGTGGATCGGACGAGGACGGTGTGTCGCCGTTGTTCTACAGCGGTGCGGTATGCTAGTGGTAACACACGCCAAACATGCTAAATCATATCAGAAGGCATCACCCAGATTTGCCAATCACCTGAGCCCGGCAAAAGACAACAGCAGTTCAGCAGCTGATCCCCGCTGTTTTTATAAACCAATAGCCGTGAGACCAAAATAAATAACGGAAGCTTTTGGCATATGTTTTTCAACGACTATGCGCTCTTGAAACACTTTCTTATTATTTATGATGTCATATTTTCAAGACATTCTTTTTAGTTTTATAGTTTATTGAACCTTTTTGTTTGACATCAGCCATTATAGATAATATGGCCATCTGAGTGTGTGTGGTACTGTGTATGGTTTGTTTACTGTTTAATACAGTTAATTATTCAAAAAATAGTTCTTTATTTTTAAACTGAAACTTGCACTACTGTTCAAACATAAATAACAACAAACCTGGAATTATGCATTTGGGACTTTTTTTTGCTTTTTCTTGTTGTACCGAACCGTACCGAACCGTGACCCCCAAACCGAGGTACTAACCGAACCGTGACTTCTGTGAACCGTTACACCCCTACTGTCTTCACTACATAAACAGTACTTTACTACTTTACTGATACATTTTTCAAAAACGGGGGTTGCTAGCAAGATAACAACATTTCAATACATTTTAAAATAAATATCATTTTATGATGGGTAGACATGGAAGCAAACAAAGAGACAGAAGTATTTGAATTTTATTAGACACCGAATTTATAGCATTGAAAATAATTACTTTGAAAATCATGTATCTGAATTTGTTTTCTTCTGAATTTACCTATGTGAAATAAAAATTTAAAAATTAAAATGTTCAAATTCAGATCCCAAAAATTCAAGTGAAAAAAATTCGACTTCAACATTTTCGGTGTATAAAATTCGACGTCCAAAATTGCGATGCAGCATCATCCGGGCTACTCAGACGGGATACGCAATCGAGCCCGAAGGCAATCAAACCGACTTCTGGCCTATCAGAGCACGGCTTTGTCAGTCATGTGATCACAACAACCCGGGAGAAAAATGACGGAGAACAGTGGGGCTCGGGTAAGTAGTCAGTTTGTGCTCTTTATTTTACAAGCAGTGAGGGCTCAACAGCATTTGTATCTTACATTAGCTAGCTAAATGAGTGAGCCTTGTGCCTTGCTGTTAGCAAGCTCCGTCACTTCGGTTAGATAAGTCAAGTAGACCATGCTACACTATACGAAATACTCTCTTACTTTTGTAAGAGAGTATTTAAAATGTTAATGTTACTTTAGTAAAAGTATGCTAGTATAATTAGGAAAGTGTTGTTAAAGTATTTAAAGTAGACACAAGTTATACTATTATATTATATCATTTGTTTTATTATTACCGATGCAAGAGTTGACTTAACTGTTGTAGTTGTAGCTCATTTTGAACAATGAACTAACTAATGATTACTTTCATAATGGTTTAATGTGCTGACTATTTTCTACATTAATTGATGAAGGTCTGGTTTGTTCAAACTCTCAAAATAGTAGGACATGCCGTCATAATTACCCAGAGTCCGAAGTGACACCTTTACAATGTTAAAGCTGTTAGATAAATGTAGCGATGTAAAAACTACAATATTCAAGATAGTGTAGTGGAAAAGAGATAATGTTTTAAAAACATGTTACTTAAACAAAATCTCTTGTTTTGGACTGACAGTAATGATTAAAGAAATAGTAGATAAATAAATACACACAAACCATTTTTGTTGTGGATGGAACACAACAAATGGTGCTCTTACCTGTGATGCCTCCTCCAAACATTATAACCAGACTGTATCATTCAAAAAAGTAACGGTTCTAGCTACTTGACTTTAGACAAACAATTAAAAAGACAAAATCAACACAATTTATTGAAAGACCAATCTTTATTTTACGGTGCCTCTCCTTTTGTTTGTATTATTAAACCCTGTCAATCTAAAAAACTGAGCAACTCAACAGTTAACTTTTATATTTCTTATTGTCCAAAGCATCTATTACACTATTGTTTCCCCTCTCATATTCACAGGATGGATGATTAGAGACTTTGGGGGAAACCTCAGCTCCATGAACGTCCTGTCTGTTGCTTTGGCCAGAGAGGGCTGAGGGTCTTTCCCTGCGAGGAGAACCAGGCCTGAGGGAGGAGGACCAGGCCTGAGGGAGGAGGACCTGCACCAGCTGCACCTACAGAACTTAGCCCATGCTGGGCATAGCTGTTACCACATGCACAGGCCTAGCCTGTCAATTAACAGATTAACATTTAGTGTAACTTATGTATATTATTTCGTTTTTATTAAAAAAAAAAAATGGTGATGGTTCATGCTTGATAACTTTTAGTTCATATTTCAATAAATTGTATTTGTATTTCCACTCCTTTTGTTCATTATTCTTACTGAAAATGTTAAATTACACATTCACATCTGACTGAAGATTGGCACCATTTATTTGTGACGTTGCAAACTCTGCGGTACAAGGCACAAGTATTGTGAAGCTCATAAAGTGAGGCAAATGCATTTGATCAGCGGACTTTTTTTTGTGCCAAACTTTATAGGCCTGACAATAATCACACTGTCTCTGAGGTGCAACGTAAAACACAAAACAACACAACAATTAAGTTCCTGTTAGACTACAAAACTAGTCAGTGTGCAGGTCTTTGTGTTACAATATAAGTGTCTCTTAGTGAATGTCCTGTACTGCCCTTAAATCTCATGACATCAGCTTTTCCTTTCTCTCTTGGATGTTCTTCTGGACCCTCAGAGAAAGAGAAAATGGTGAAGCAGTCCAAAACATTATTGCAGAGCAAGTGTGTTATTTAAGAAAGAGGTGTTCAGGGGCTATAAATATGATTTTTATTTTTATTTTTATTTGAATGTGTTTTTTAAATCCAACAGTGTACTACAAAGATAATCGGATTATGAATAAACCGTTCTAAATTCATCAACATTGAAATAAATGTATTATTAAAATAATATTTAACTGTTATCAAAACTTAGTGCAGAAGCTTGCTCTGTTCGGTTGTCTCACTGAAATAATCACTTTTAACATGTACAGTCAGTATGCAGAGACAAAGGGTCGCAGTTCTCACTATGTTCAATAATATTTGCCTTAAATACATTAAAATGTGAAAGTTGAACAAATAAGTGATGTTGCTTGGTAACATGTAAATGTAACCTTTTGCTAAGAAAGTACACTCAACATCACTGATGTGTAGGTGATCTAGTATTTAGTCATGTTTAATGGCATGTATTGTACAGTGGGGCAAACAAGTATTTAGTCAGCCACCAATTGTGCAAGTTCTCCCACTTAAAAAGATGAGAGGCCTGTAATTTTCTCTATGAGAGACAGAATGGGGAGAAAGAATCCAGGAAATCACATTGTAAGATTTTTAATGAATGAATTGGTAAATTCCTCGGTAAAATAAGTATTTGGTCACCTACAAACAAACAAGATTTCTGGCTCTCACAGACCTGTAACTTCTTCTTTAAGAGCCTCCTCTGTCCTCCACTTGTTAACTGTATTAATGGCACCTGGTTGAACTCGTTATCAGTATAAAAGACACCTGTCCACAACCTCAAACAGTCACACTCCAAACTCCACTATGGCCAAGACCAAAGAGCTGTCAAAGGACACCAGAAACACAATTGTAGACCTGCACCAGGCTGGGAAGACTGAATCTGCAATAGGTAAGCAGCTTGGTGTGAAGAAATCAACTGTGGGAGCAATTATTAGAAAATGGAAGACATACAAGACCACTGATAATCTCCCTCGATCTGGGGCTCCACGCAAGATCTCACCCCGTGGGGTCAAAATGATCACAAGAACGGTGAGCAAAGATCCCAGAACCACACGGGGGGACCTAGTCAATGACCTGCAGAGAGCTGGGACCAAAGTAACAAAGGCTACCATCAGTAACACACTACGCCAGGGACTCAAATCCTGCAGTGCCAGACATGTGCCCCTGCTTAAGCCAGTACATGTCCAGGCCCGTCTGAAGTTTGCTAGAGAGCATTTAGATGATCCAGAAGAGGATTGGGAGAATGTCATATGGTCAGATGAAACCAAAATAGAACTTTTTGGTAAAAACTTAACTAGACGTGTTTGGAGGAGAAAGAATGCTGAGTTGCATCCAAAGAACACCATACCTACTGTGAAACATGGGGGTGGAAACATCATGCTTTGGGGCTGTTTTTCTGCAAAGGGACCAGGACGACTGATCCGTGTAAAGGAAAGAATGAATGGGGCCATGTATCGTGAGATTTTGAGTGACAACCTCCTTCCATCAGCAAGGGCATTGAAGATTAAACGTGGCTGGGTCTTTCAGCATGACAGTGATCCCAAACACACCGCCCGGGCAACGAAGGAGTGGCTTTGTAAGAAGCATTTCAAGGTCCTGGAGTGGCCTAGCCAGTCTCCAGATCTCAACCCCATAGAAAATCTTTGGAGGGAATTGAAAGTCTGTGTTGCCCAGCGACAGCCCCAAAACATCACTGCTCTAGAGGAGATCTGCATGGAGGAATGGGCCAAAATACCAGCAACAGTGTGTGAAAACCTTGTGAAGACTTACAGAAAACGTTTGACCTCTGTCATTGCCAACAAAGGGTATATAACAAAGTATTGAGATGAACTTTTGTTATTGACCAAATACTTATTTTCCACCATAATTTGCAAATAAATTCTTTAAAAATCAGACAATGTGATTTTCTGGATTATTTTTTTTCTCATTCTGTCGAGGTATACCTAGGATGAAAATTACAGGCCTCTCTCATCTTTTTAAGTGGGAGAACTTGCACAATTGGTGGCTGAATAAACACTTTTTTGCCCCACTGTATATCAGTGTATTAGAGTCATTACTTTATGCATTCTTTGTAAAGTATGAAAAAGATGTACCTTGGAATCCGTGCTGAAGTTCTCTGCTGTCAGGAGTCCAGATCTGTCTCTCCTCCTCTGGTCCAGCCTGTCTGGATCACTTTAAGGACACTTTGAACAAACAGATGTAAAGTTACATGCGTGGGTTACAGACTTCTTTACATGCAAACAACTTTTTATCTTCTTTTAAAAACGGGTCATAATCTTATTGTTGTACTTAAGAAATTGCTGGATATCACAGTCCTTATACTGTATCAGTTTGAGTATTATTGTGGAGGTCCTTTTTATTTTACTGTTACTTTGGATGAGTTTTTCACGAGTCAGTCAAATTAATGTTTTCATATGCTATATTCATATGTATCACACACGTAAGGGTAAGACACAAACCTATTTAACAAATGCAATGGTTAAGCTTAATTTGCACTGAAGTCCCATAACGTTGTATCTACTATTTAAACAAATCATTTCCTTGTCAGTAAAGCATTGACTACGCTATTCATCGTCCTTAAATGCAGGCATTAAGTTACATGTTACGTTCTACAGCCACGATGAGGCTGTTTCTCAAGTGTGATGATAATACAATTAAAAGAGGCATTGGTAATAATATTAAAAACAACAATGTTTGGGTCGTTAGTCGGATAGGTGGTTAGCTGCAATAAATAACTCCAGTTCAACAAACCATATTACAATATCTAAGTGACCGTTATTTCTGGACCATCTTGAAATGTGACGTTCATATTTTAAAGATACACACATTTTATTGTGAGGTTGATTTAATATACACTAGCTAAAGTCAACGTATTGTTGAAGACAGTTAGTCTATTTTATGCTATAGTAGAGCATAGCGAATTAAAATGAACCTTAACAATGCATACAGTAACCTAACTAGCAAACTAACTATCTAACGTACAAGGATGACCTTATTTTACCAACCTCGCACAGAAGCCTTTTGTTTTATACTTCTCTATTACGTTTAACTTGGATGCTACGCATATCATCGTTAGCACAGATGGAGCTACCGATTGCTCAAATGCTAACCCAACTCTAAACATTCATTAATGTTAGCTTAATAAAAACACCAGTAACATAACATAAAGTACGCAGGGTTGACTTCAATCAATCAATCAATCAATGTTTATTTATATAGCCCAATATCACAAATGTTACATTTGTCTCAGTGGACTTCACAGTTTGTACAGAATATCAGTATGACAATACGACACCCTCTGTCCTTAGACCCTCACATCGTACAAGGAAAAACTTCCGGAGAAAACCCACAGTTTAAAGGGAAAAATGGAAGAAACCTCAGGGAGAGCAACAGAGGAGGGATCCCTCTCCCAGGACGGACAGACGTGCAATAGATGCCGTGTGTAAATTGAAAAGATAATACATTTGCAACATAGGTAGTCCAAATGTTTGGAAATGCATGTGTGTATAATAGGAAGATGAATCCACGAGGATATCCATCCAGGACTTATGATCCAGGACCACAGCCACGACTCAAGATCCAGGACACAGGACCGCAGCGACGGGATCATCCATGACTCCGGATCCCGGCGTATATAGACACCAAAAAGAAAGAAATGTGGGGAAGCTGGGTTAATCGGAACTTGAGAGTACACAGGTATAGACAGAGAGAAGGAAGAAGTAAGATGTCCCCCGACAAACTAAGTCTATATCAGCAAAACTAGGGGCTGAATCTAATCAGCCCTAACTATAAGCTTTATCAAAAAGGAAGGTCTTAAGCGCACTCTTAAAAAACGGATAGGGTGTCTGCCGCCCGAACACAAACTGGAAGCTGATTCCACAAATGTGGAGCTTGATAAGAAAAGGCTCTGGCTCCCATTGTACTTTTAGAGACTCTAGGAACAACCCTGCATTCTTGGAACGCAATGCCCTAGTAGGACAGTAGGGTATAATGAGTTCTTACAGAAGAAACTGCATTCATGGACGGTCTGTTTTAACCTCAGATAAATCCTATATTTGCATGACGAATAGTCCACCAGGAACCAACACAACAAACACGGCCGAGTTCAAGTAGTGTTCTCCTCATGAGCTGAGCCCCTGTACCATCACGGCGCTAATGGAGCTAACGGAGCTAGCAGTGAGACAGAGGAGCTAGGAGCAGCAATCCCGTTGTCATGAAGGGGGAATCTAACTATATACAGAATATGTTTTTGTGGATCCAGACTAGAAACATGTTCATTTTCTGATGTTAAGTTGGACATTTTAACATAGGGTCTACGGGAATTGCTCCCATCTGCATCCATCGCCTACAGTTTGCAGCATTGGGCTTCACCGCACTCCCAGAGTTCGCCGCTTGGCTCTGATAGGCCAGAAGTCGGTTTGATTGCATTCGGGCTCGATTGCTTATCCTGTCTGAGTAGCCCGGATGATGTTGCATCGCAATTTTGGACATCGAATTTTAAACACCGACATTTTTGACGTCGAATTTTTAAACACCGAAATTGTACATTCTAATTTTTTTCACTTGAATTTTTGGGATCTGAATTTGACTATTCAAATTTTTTTAACTTGAATTGTTATATTTTTATTTCACATAGGTAAATTCGGAGCAAAACAATCAGATATATGATTTTCAAAGTAATTATTTTCAATGCGATAAATTCGGTGTCTGATAAAATTCAAATACTTCTGTCTCTTGTTTGCTTCCATATAGACAAGACATTGAATTACAAATACAACATTTGTAAACTATACTATTATGTAGGACTTGCCTATAATTTAAGGTGACATATTTTTGGTAGAAAATATTCAGTTTTCTTCTTTTCTAAGATCATATTGTTTTGTTGCTTTACATACCTACAATATCTCTAAGTGGAACACATCTTATTGTTATTCCTTTCTCTCTTATGTATTTGCATTTCATTTGATATCAAGGTAACCAAAAGTAGCTGAAAGTAATCAGGTTACATTACTTTGTACCTGTGGTATTGGCTTACTGATTACATTGTTGAAAATATGACTAGTAGTTGTAACGGATTACATTTATAGTAACTATCTCAACCCAGCCTGTTGTTCAATTCTCCTACACAGAAAGCCTCCTTGAGTTTCTTGCTGACTTTTCATGCTGGAGAACTGTCCCCTTCTTGCCCCTCGTCTAAATCTCATGTTTTGTCCCCAGTTGATCCTCAGGCAATCTGGCTGATGCAGGGCTGGCTGTTCTTCAGTGACACAGCGTTCTGGAAGCCGGCCCAGATTCAGGCTCTACTACACGGAGTGCCTCTGGGCAGAATGATCGTGCTGGACCTGTTTGCAGAGACGGAGCCAATTTTCTCCTACACAGAGTCTTTCTACGGGCAGCCCTTCATCTGGTGCATGCTGCAGAACTTTGGGGGCAACAGCGGATTCTTTGGCACGGTGGAGAGCATGAACTCGGGGCCCTTCAAAGCCTTACAGTTCCCAAACTCCACCCTGGTTGGCATAGGCATGACGCCTGAGGGCATTGAGCAGAATCCAGTGATGTACGAGCTGATGAGCGAGCTGGCATGGCGTAAGGAGCCGGTCAACCTGTCCAAGTGGGTGTCGCTGTACGCTATCCGTCGCTACGGCAGCACGCAGGACAGCTTGACGGCGGCGTGGAGGCTGCTGTTCGCCAGCGTCTACAACTGCACCGTGCCACACTACAAAAACCACAACCACAGCCCCCTGGTGCACAGACCCTCTCTCCACATGAACGCTGACCGGTGGTACGACCCGGCTGATTTGTTCAAAGCCTGGAAACTGATCATCGAGGCGGCTCCGTCCCTCATGTCCAAGGAGACTTTCCGCTGCGATCTCGTGGACGTGACTCGGCAGGTCCTACAAGTCCTGACAACAAGCTTCTACCAGGATATCGCAGATGCTTTCAAGAACCAGAAGCTGCCAGAGCTGCTGACTGCGGGGGGGGTGCTGGTGTACGACCTCCTGCCTGAACTCAACCGTCTGCTGAGCAGCGACCGCAACTTCCTGTTGGGGACATGGCTGGAGAGGGCCCGCTCCTTCGCCCTGGATGAGAAGGAGGCCCAGCTGTACGACATGAATGCCAGGAACCAGCTTACTCTGTGGGGTCCCAGCGGTGAGATCCTGGACTACGCCAGCAAAGAGTGGGGGGGCCTCATGGAGGACTACTACGCCCAGAGATGGGGTCTTTTCGTTGAAACCCTGGTAGACTGTCTGGACACTGGACGGCCATACAAGCAGGACACCTTTAACCAGGCCGTGTTCCAGGTGGAGAAGGGGTTCATTTACAACGCCCGAAAATATCCGACCAAGCCTCAGGGCGACACGTACGAGATCGCCCGCAGGATCTTCCTCAAGTACTACCCCCAGGCCTTGAAGACACTATAGTGAGCAGAGGATTCATTTTGGAAAAACTTGTCTCTAGTCACAGCAAGAAGAATGTCTCCACCTCCAGTTTTCCATGGCTGTCCCAAAACTGTGAAACATTTTGAAATGGAAACTCTAACACCTGGATTTGCAGGAACAATCTGTTTTGCACACATAGCCAAATCAGTGGATAGCTGAGTATGATGAAGGGAACAAATACTTTTACTTTACATTCACACTTTAGAAATATTCAATTAAGCCTTATCAAACACAAGTTCAGCAAAAAAAAAAGTGTTATGAGTGGTGCAGTGATGACAAATGGATGTAGGCCAACCATTGCGTGGGCTCCCTCAAAAAAAGCAATGGGATTTTCACATAAAACATTTAAATTGGAATGTTGCAGAAAATAAGATCTGTGGCAATCACACTTTTTTGATACTTCCATGTTTTTTCAGCTGGATAATCTCCACATATTAACACAACTTTTATAATAGTTGAGGCATAAATGCAATCGGCAGAAGTAAAAAGCTAACATTAGGCAATAAACTAACGACATGGCTGCGTATCACCACCGCTAAGCTAAAGACGGCTAATGTTTCGCGTGATGATGTTTAGTCGTCTCATTTAGTCACACTTCAGACATTCACCAGTGAGGTATTTACTGACATATGTAATGTCATTCAAAGAAGTATCTTAAGCTTGTGATAACCACAGATTTTACTTCAGGCATCTAACAAAAAATACATTCCGAAAACAGGATGATTTTTTTACATTTCAGAACAGGTTTCAGAATCAGACCAGGGGCCTGTACTACGAATCAGGATTTTCGTTTAGTGAGCTAACTTCCTGGATTTCCGGTCCTACGACGCTGGTTCACTTCTTAGCGGGCTAGATAACTTATTCTGAACGGCTAGCGTGGGGGGTATACTACGAAGCAGGATTTTCGTTTAGCAAGATAACTATTAGGATTTCCGGTACTACGAAGCTGGTTCACGTTTTAGCGGGCTAGATAACTTATTCTGAACGGCTAGCCTGCGCCAGAGCAGGATAGGTTCCAGGATAAGAGAGCAACTGTGCAGAGTTCTTCTTCTTCGCTTTAATGGCGAATCGCTTCCACTTGGAGCATATCGCCACTATATTGTTGATTTATTTAATGTATAAACTGCCCATATTGTTCATGTAAAACAGTGTTCATGTAAGCCTGCACATTGATTTTATTTTTCATTGAATGTAACCATTTCAATAAGGATACATCTATTACAGGTTGAGGTAAAAACCATGGTGGAACAGCTGATAACAACAGTGTGCAGAGTTTGATTGATTGATTGATTGAAAAGTTTATTAACAGCTTGTATATTGGGTACAGTACAGAACAGCTCAAAACATACAATTGTTAAGGGGATGCAGACCAGAGAAAGACTTTCGTCTTGTTTACATCAGGGTCCCCCATTTCCAATTCATCAGTTTAAAGCGATCAAGTCATATTACAGGATAAAGGAAATACAATTTAAACTGCCGTTGCAGTTCAAATCACCGTCTGTGTGAACATTAAGAGAATATCCCTTCCCATCTTCAGAGCAATCTGACTATTATAGCATTAGCATTAAGAAAGCTTACTTAAATATCTGCCACAACATAAGTAACCGGATCAAAGTAACATTACGTAGCCTACTGTCCGCGGCACTGTGAGTGCAGACGTCGATGTGTCCCATTATCATCATATCGCATCATAATGTATCATATATTTCCTTATCTGAGTCAGCTTCTTGAGCCGTATCTGGCCGTGCAACGCTTACAGTGTCACATGCTGTAGTGGTTCCCAAACGGTGTGCCGCGGCACACTGGTGTGCCGTGAGGCAAGTCCGGGTGTGCCGTGGGATTTTGTGACAACCATACGTTATTATTGCAATATACAACTACACAAATATAATTACTTTTTAATTTACTATATCAGTACTTTGTAGGTTTATATGTACTTAATCTGCGCGACTTGCGTGTCCACATCTCCACGTGCAGTGCTGCATAAACATGGCTGAGTCAGCGATAACTTTCGAGGGGTGGAGGTATGCCCATTATTTTTGAGTTCGTCCGAAGAATAGACAGGAATGTGACGGTGAGGTGCAAACTGTGTCCAGGCCAGAAGCTGTTATCCACTGCTGGAAACACCACGTGGTCAAACCTCAACAAGCACCTGCAAAGAACACATGCTAAGGTGAAGCTAACGCACACGCTATTTGTTGTTTGTTGATATCACGGAGTCTGTTCTTCTTCTCTGTCTTCCGGTTGTTGCCTGTTTTGAATGACAAATACACAGAGTTATTGCCACTCACGCATGCGCAGTTCGTACGTGCTCGGCGAGTATAGTAACGAATTACTTTATGTAGATAGTTACGAAGTAATGTAATATATTACTTTTTAAAAAGTAATATGTAATCAGAACAACAGGAGGTCACGGCTCTCTGTTGAACAGGACTTGCGAGTGGCCCTCTCCTCAGCGCCCCGACACGCACATGTATCTCACTAATTTGTAAGTCAGCACATGTTTCAATGCTGATTGCTGAAATGTTACATTTATAATTTGTAGTTCAGGACCATGGACAATGCAGCTTCCTTGCATTGACAGTTCTCTGTGCTGAATTTCTGCTGAGTTTCCTTTGCCTCATTTTTAATGTTGTGACCTGTCTGGTTTAAATGAGTGTGTTGCTGCTTTGATTAAGCCTAATTTGATAAAGTTTCAAATACATTTCTGAAATATTTCGTTAATAAATATTTCATGAGTAATATAGTTGTCTTTGTCACATTTTATTTGGCATTTGTAAATAATTATGCACATTTACAGATATTTTACATGATATGAGTGATAACACGTGTTATAAGGGCTATTTTGCACAATAGGTGTGCCTTGAGATTTTTACTTGTCCTTTGGTGTGCCTTGGGCACAAAAAGTTTGGGAACCACTGTATGCAGAAGTATTATTTTAAGCAACACATTAAGTTGACGAAACACTCGAGACAAATGTAATTAAAGTCAGATCCACTCGTGTCTTAGACGGGGCAGTGATATCATAAACCTGTTAATGTACGCATTCAAACACTTTTTCTTTTACCAGCTGTATTCACCTTGCAGGTGCAGCTATGGCTTTTATCCTGGATAAAGTGTTTAAGTCATGGATGTTTAAAGTTTAACTTCTTCATATTTGACTAATATTATAGTTGACTTTTCATTCAGGAAGTATGACGCTGCGCTGTCAGTACGCTTCTCCATGTTTGGGATTGGTCGAATGCTCCAGATACCGCCCCTTTCATGTGAACGCGCACCTTACTAGATAGGACACGGCTGGCTTGAGCGAACGAGTTGATAGCCAGCGTAGGACAGTTTAGCGAGAGCGGCTTTGTTTTGGATTAAGTCAACCGGATAACTCAAAACATATCCAGGATATGTTGAACTAGATTCGTAGTATACCCCAAGCCCCCAGGAAGTGCGCCGGACTCAGATGAAAATATTCGTGGTGGCCTAAAGGCGGTACTACACTTCCGTTTGGTTGCCAGGCTCGGAAACACTTTTTCCCATTGACTTACATGGGGAAAGAGTGGTCTGTAAATCGTTGGATAATTTTTTTTAAACTAAATAAACTACCCAGTATGAACGTTTGTATACCCCTTATTAAAAACATTCGTTCCTCAAGTTGTAAAAATGTGCTAATAACGTTATTCTGAGAGTTATTTCCCTCTGCATTTTGAACGCACATATAACCCATGGGACCGCGCTGCCCGGCACGTTCATGTTACGTGTTCAGCACTATGCGTTTATCTTTACCCATGGATGCACAATAAGAACGGACCATATCGCCTTACTGCCATCCCACGGAGCTGTAATAATGGATATATTGCACATTGTTTGCTGTAATTCATCATTTGTAAAATATTATACTACATGGGCTGTATGATGTAAATGTTGTACCGTAAATGTTGTATTAAATAAAGTTAATATTACCGACGTAGATTAACGTCCCTGTAGCTTCTTATTGCACTAAGAAGCTTATTGCACTGTATATATATATATGTATATGTGTATATATTAGGGCTGTCAGTCGATTAAAATATTTAATTGCGATTAATCGCATGATTGTCCATAGTTAATCGCGATTAATCGCAAATTAATCGCACATTTTTTATCTGTTCTAAATGTACCTTAGAGGAATATGTTTCAAGTTTTTAATACTCTTATCAACATATGAGTGGACAAATATGCTTTATGCTAATGTTTATTATCATTTGAACAATGACAAATATTCTCATGAATATTAAACACAACAACCTCTGAACATTACAAATATTTGCCTCAAGTCAACCTGGAACTGTGTGTGTGTGTGTGTGTGTGTGTGTGTGTGTGTGTGTGTGTGTGTGTGTGTGTGTGTGTGTGTGTGTGTGTGTGTGTGTGTGTGTGTGTGTGTGTGTGTGTGTGTGTGTGTGTGTGTGTGTGTGTGTGTGTGTGTGTGTGTGTGTGTGTGTGTGTGTGTGTGTGTGTGTGTGTGTGTGTGTGTGTGTGTGTGTGTGTGTGTGTGTGTGTGTGTGTGTGTGTGTGTGTGTGTGTGTGTGTGTGTGTGTGTGTGTGTGTGTGTGTGTGTGTGTTAACCCATGAGTTTCAGGCGTACCGATTATACTGGAGCACCAACTAACGTTCATGACTTCAGACAACAACAAACCACAGTGAACAACAGTGGGAAATGTTGTTTTAAAAACGGACGGATGGAAGCGTCGATAAGAGCACGGTTGTGTGCAAATTATGCAAAAAGGAATTCGCATATCACCGCAGCACATCAAGCCTCAAGTATCACCTCAATGCAAAACATATAGCAGCTAGCGTGGACGTTAGCCTCTTTTATCGCGTTCACACCAAAAAGAGCCGGTACTAAAATTAGTTCATGAGAACCTTTTTACCCGCACGAAAGTCCCTGCTAGAGAGCAGAGAGCTGCTAGAGAGCAGGGACTTTCGTACGGCTCTCTTGTGAGAAAATAGCTATATTTCTGATTGGCTGGGCGGATTGCAAACCACGCCCCGTAAAACTCCCAAAAAGTGTTGTGAAGCCGCCATTTTATTATCCTCGCATTAGCATTATTAGCATTAGCCCAGCGCAGAAACGCAGAGAGACTAACTTATGGCAACACAAAATAAAACATGGGAGCGGTGGAGATGAGGAGGTGTCGGCGTTCTGGCGATTTACTCGGAAGGCTGCTGGGACTCCCAGCAGCTTCTACTGAAGCCAGTCCCCAACTCCGGGGACTTCCGGCCGGGGACTTTGGGCGGCAGTATACGCCGTGAAGTGGTTTGCGGCCTGCCAGTAAACCCAAAGCAGAAGAAGAAGAAGTGACGTCAGCGGCTTCATTTGTCTGCCAAGAACCTCTCTGTGGCATGTATTGCATCACTTTTGGATTTGAGAAAATAAACAGTTATGGCACCCGAATAGTCGTCTGTAAAAGACTGTGCATATTTGTGCCCTTCTAAGCTTAGGGTTCTCATAGGACCGGCTAAATCAGTGTGGACCAGCTGTAAAGGTTCTGTAGCCTTTCTGTCTGGCTCCCTATTCCTTGTCTGGGTGAATTTTCCTTTTGTACAAATTTCACACAGCTGTGCTAGCCTGACTGCACTGCCTCTTATCTCCATGCCTTTTACCACACCCAGTAACTTTTGTACATCCTCATAATTGCAATGTCCCAACATTTCGTGCCAAGTTTGCATGTCGTGGCACACATTACATTTATCAACATTTTTCTGAACAGTTGGCAAGTACAACAGATTACCACTTTCATGGAGGTCAAACCGGTTGTTACCACTCTTGGTGATCATGTGGCTGTCCCCCTTCTTGAAAGTGACTGTCGCTCCTCCATTTGTTGCTCTTGCCACTGAGAAGATATCGTGTGGATACGTCGGCATATACAGTGCCTCATGCAGCTGTGCTCTTTGTTGACGTCCATCGTTGTCTAGCAGGTAGATCAGCGCCGTCCCTCTGCGTTGTGCCATCCCGCTGCATTTGGTCCCATCCGCAAGCTCGATTGAATGGGTGTCGGGCTGGAATGTGTTGTCAAAGCTCTTGAACTTGGCGATATCGTTCACTATGTGGGATGTCGCTCCGGCGTCCACCATGATGCCTTTCTTCTTTATCTTGGCTGATGGTCTCTCGCTGTTTGCCTGCTTGGCCATGAAGCAATGATCCTCGTCGCCGTTGTCCTCCTCTTCTTCCTCTGCAACCTTCCTGGCTCCGTCTTCTTTTCCCTTTTTCCTGCACAGGGACTCTGTGTGTGTGTTGCTCTTGCAGTGACTGCACCACACTTTCTGGGTGCACTTGCTTCTAATGTGTCCTTTTTCTCCACACTTGTAACAAGTCACTGAAGTCAGAGTGGCTTCTCCATTCTTCCAGTGTGTCTTGGTGCCTTGTCTACTTTGCCTTGTGTTAGTCTTCATCACACTGTCCATAGATCCAGTCGTCCTCATCTTCTCAGATTCTTCATAGACCCTCAGTCTTCTCTTGAAGTCTTTAAATGTAACATCGTCCTCGTTCTGTGTTACATGGACAGCCAGTGGCCTGAATGAATCTGGCAGTCCATTCAAAATGGTGGCTACAAGCAGCCCATCACTCATGTTCTCTCCTGCATCACGTAGAGCTGCAATTATATTCTCAGCCCTTATCATGTAATCAGTAACAGTTTGATTGTCTGCCATTTGTATGGTGGTCAATGATGTATACAGGTTTAGAATCCTTGG